TGAATGGAGGTGGAGTTAAGAGACTGACTAGCTTGGAATCATTGCAGAAGAGGAAGCAACAGAGTCCCCACTAAAATCCCTGGAGCCCCATCTGATTGTTCCCAAGACAAGTGCAGTCAGTCGGGCAGATTCTTGTAAACAGGCTAAAAGCAATAAAGAAACTTATCTAATCAACTCATAGTGTTTCTCTGGTTCCTTGCTCCTAATACGAAATCAAACCATAAAAATATTTGTAATAAATAGATTACAAGTAGCAGCTTTTAAATACAAAAGCACCACATCATAATTTCATTAGAAGAGAGGCCTAGACCAAACAACTACTCTAAAGAGTAATTTAGCCAATCAAATTAAAAGCAAACAAAAAAAAACTCCTTACATCGAGCAAAACTATGTGTTATTTGGATTAATCTGCCCCCTCCTCCAAAAAAACCACACCCCAAACCAAAATGTATGTCACTAAATAATGTGGGATCAATACTGTAACCCATACATGAAATGCCCCTATTTTTAAAATGTTGAGTAGCAGGAAATGTTGTAATTTCACGTAAGTGGGTTTTCTACCACTTCCACTATAAATAAGGACTAAACATATGAACCAGGAAACTGTATGTGACCGCCTTCTATTGCCCATGGCTCCCTTACATCTTATCACATAGTTAAACAGGCACTATCATCTCGTTAGTCAATTAACAGAAGTGGTCAGTAATCTCCCTTAGGAAATCTTTCCTAGAGGAGTAGGGGGACAGCTAGTGTGCTGGCAGAATATATAGGCTGCAATGAATTGCACTATTGAGTTGTAAGTCCAAGGAAACACCAAGTCAAGCCTTGACAAAATAGAACAAGGCACAGAAGAAACAATGCTAACGACTGGGGACAACCAAGGGTCAAGGGCTACCTGAGAGAGAGCGTGGGAGGGATTCAGGAAGATCATGTTCTTCTAGTCATGAAGACAAACCAGAATCAGAATGAGAAAATTGTGTCCTTCTTAAATATAAATAGAGGTAGGTAGGGACGTGTACATGGAGCCATGGTGGTGCAGTGGTTAGTATGCAATACTGCAAGCTGACTCTGCCAATTGCCAGCAGCTCAAGGTTGACTCAGCTTTCCATCCTTCCATAGTTGGTAAAATGAGGACCCAGATTGTTGGGGGCAATATGCTGTCTCTCTAAACTGCTTAGAGGGGGCTGTAAAGCCCTGTGAAGCTATAAATAAGTTTAAGTGCTATTGCTATTGCTACATATGCATCCAGCTAGCACAGAGGTAGGCAACCTTGGCTCTTTTGACTCATGGACTTCAACTCCCAGAATTCTGGGAGCTGAAGTCCATGAGTCACTAAAGAGGCAAGGTTGCCTACCCCTGAGCTAGCATAACAGCTTGGGAACATTTTCAACACAGAAAATGTTAATTTTAAAAAATCTCAGGTCATTGTGGGTACCTTCCAAGTGGGCAAAGGAAAGCAATTATCTATTTGTAGATTATGCTTGCAAAACTAGCTGTGAAAAGTAAATGTTCCTTGTTTGAGTTAATCTATTTTTTTTAAAAAAAGAGGGAGACAATACACAAGTAGTGTTTTGCATCAAAGCCTGTGAATTTACGAAAACTTATATGTGCAACATTAAACATACAAAAACTAATACATCTTAACTCTAATTGTAATGATGGAAAACTCAGAAGTGCTTCTGAAAATAACTACAGCATTGGGAATAATGCTTTTATTTTCTGTCTCATATATTAATAACGTACCATTCAAGAGTGTATAGGAAAGAACATTAAAAAGTGCCGTTACTGTGATTAAAGTCTGACACACAAATCTCCTTGAAATGATGGCTGACAAGATTTCAATTATAAACCTATAATTTCAAACAGTGGGATATTTGTAGTAATGTCAGCAGTGATAGAAGTCCATTACTATTCTTCAAAACATGAAAGCTGACTATTCAGTTTTTAGAATTTATATAATTATAACAAATATAAAATAAGTAATTTTTTGTACCCTAGAGATTTCCATTCTTGCATGCACTATAGATATTATAAAAACAATGGAAAAAAATAAAAGTTGGCACGCACAGCTGGGAATATTCTTTTATGCTGCCTATCCTGATTTTAATGATTTATTTTCAACTCATTATGTTTTTTTTTTTTATGAATTTGGAACTCTATAAAGAAACTGAGACAGGCTCATTTCCAAAAGAACATTGTAATGGCAAGAACAGAGATGTATAAGAATCTTGGTAAGACCTCAAAAAAAGAAATGCAGAAAACTTCAATCACTGGGAAAATTGGAACTATTTACAAGTACCACCTAATGTTTTAAATGGTGCATAACAGATTTCTGTTTGTAATCCAGAACATCATTCTATTGGCAAAACCAATTCTTCCTCCTTTTCCCAGATCCCTCAAATGTGCTCCACGTGAGATGGTCCGAGCAGGTTCAGACAGGATGTCAGATGATGTGGAATTCCACAGAATAATATTCAGAGGACTTTCTTTCATTATAAACACGTATCTAATCAACAATTGCAATCTTGCAGCTGCTTGCATTTTTAATATCAAAGTACAATATGAGCATATTAATTATGCTCTGAATCTGAGAATAAGGGTAGCTTCTGTCGGCTTTACTTTTATTTTGCTGACATTTTAAAACACGTTTTCCTTGGAAAGTTTTTTTAAAAAGCATTTGCGCGATGGCAATTTTTTAAGATTTATTTATGAATCCAATCAGAAAACTGTTTCTCCAGGATTACCTTGCAAAATTGATCACAAGCCTAATCTGCTTGCGTACTATGATGCAATTCAACATGACTGGCAGGACCTCTACTCATTCCTGGGTAGTACCACCCCTTTTCTCAATCTCGTCCACACGGATCATCTATCTTCTGTAATAGATTTTGAAAGCACAAACCAAATTTTACTCTAATCTTTGTATTTCATTTTAGGCATTTTGTGATCCTGGCACTGTATTTCCTATTTTCCACGTATAACTTTAGTAATTTTTCTTTTCGAAGTCCATATTTTAAAATCGTATTTTGTCTGCACTTCACAGAACAAACGTGTCAATTATTTTTCAACCACTGCAGAAATTGAAGTTTTGCAAGAACATTTTGATATCAAAAATTACTTGTTTGTGACGATGACCGGTTATATAAATTTGACAAATACAGTGCATTCAGAAAGTATTCAGACCCCCTTCACTTTGGTCATTTTTGTTATGCTGCAGCCTTATTCTACGGTTGTTAAAATCCATTTTTTTTCTCATTAATCTACACTCAGTACCCCACAATGACAAAGTGAAAACAGAACTTTAGAAATGCCTGTAAATTTATTTTTAAAACTGGCATATCACATTGGCATAATCATTCAGATCCTTTGCAACAACACTTGAAATTGAGCTCAGGGGCCTCCCATTTCTCTTGATTGTTGCTGACATGTTTCTACGCCTTGATTGGAGTCCATCTGTAATAAATTAAATTGGACATGATTTGGAAAGGCACACACCTCTCTATAGAAGGCCTCACAGCTGACAGGGCATACATACTGTAGCAGAGCAAAAGCCATGAGGTCAAAGGAACTGCCTGCAGAGTCAGAGACAGGATTATTGCAAGGCACAGATCTGGGGAAGGCTACAATAACATTTCTGCTGCACTGAAGGTTCCTAAGACAGGGGCCTCCATCATTCTCAAATGGAAGAGGTTTGACACAACCAGGACTCTTCCAAGAACTGGTCGCCTGGTCAAACTGAGCAATCATGGAGAAGGGCCATAGTAAGAGAGGTGACCAAAAACCCAATAGCCACTCTGACTTGAGCTCCAGAGAGCCTGTGTGGAGATGGGACAGAGTTCCAGAAGGACAACCATCACTGCAGCCCTCCACCGATCTGGGCTTTATGACAGAGTTGGCTAGATGGGAGCCTCTCCTCAGTACAAAACACATGAAAGCCCACTTACGAGTTTACAAAAAAGCACCCGAAAGACCCTGACAGTAAGCAGCAAGATTCTCTGGTGAAACCAAGATTGAACTGTTAGGCCTCGATTCTAAATGTTATGTCTGGAGGAAGCCAGGCACAGCACATCAGCTGCCCAATATCCTCCCAACAGTGAATTATGGCGGTGGCAGCATCATGCTGTGGGGGTGTTTTTCAGCAGCAGGGACTGGGAAACTGGTCAGGGTTGAGGGAAAGGTGAATGGAGCAAAGTACAAGGATATCCTCAATGAAAACCTGTTCCACAGGACTCAGACTGGGCCGAAGGTTTACTTTCCAACATGACAATGATCCTAAGCACACAACCAAGACAACACAGGAGTGGCTTAGGGATAACTCCGAATGTCCTAGAGTGACCCAGCCAGAGCCCTGATTTGAGCCCTATTGAACATCTCTGGAGGGACTGGAAAATGGCTGCCACTTATGGTCGCCATTCAATCTGACTGAACTTGAGAGGATTTACAAAGAAGATTGGCAAAGCTTGTCGCATCATAACCAAAAAGACTCAAGGCTGTAATCGCCGCCAAAGGTGCTTCAACAAAGTACTGAGTGAAGGGTCTGAATACTTATGCCAAAGTGATATTTCAGTTTTTTTCTTTTTAATAAATTTACAGACATTTCTAAAATTCTGTTTTCACTTTGTCATTATGGGGTGCTGAGTGTAGATTAATGAGAAAAAAATGAATTTCAACAACTGTAGAATCAGGCTGCAGCATAACAAAATTTACAAAAGTGAAGGGAATCTGAATACTTTCTGAATGCACTGTAAATGAATAAATGTAGCATTAGAAAAAAAAGTTTCTACTATTTGATGTAGATTCAGCTTTATTACTTTCTGCTACAGCTTGAAAAATATATACTTTTCCTCAACTGTGAAATGGTACATTTATAGCTTTCTCAGATATTTTTGGCTTTATTTGAAGACTTTTAAAAAGAAGCAATGGCTCTATAAATCTATGTACTTTATTGGGTGATGGAAGAGGATTTTAAGCAGAATACGATCTGAAGAGAAACCAGAGTATACATAATAATATTTTTATTTTCCAAAGTGGATATGAAAAAGTGTATACCTTTTGAGGAAAAAAAGAGCATTTTTTTTTTTCATGAAAGTGCTTTCACACTGTGACAACCAGAAAAATTACAATTGGGCATTTTCTAAAATAAAGGTGTGGCAGTTTGCAAGCTGAAAAAAAGGCTGACAGTAATTTTTAAGAGATTATTGGTTACTACAGACAACTAATTGTCCAATTTATAGGGAAAATCAATTAATACATCTAGAATTATTCTTAGGGAATCTTACATTTAATGAGAAGTTTCTGGGAATAAATATTTAAATTACCTACAGATTATCTTGGAAAGTATGCCCTGCAACTCTTGAATTTTACAGTCAATGTAAAAAACACACTTTATTGTTCTGATGCTAAGTAAATGTTTTATCTTGAAATAATGGATATTTACCCACTTGTGAACCACTTAGGTAGAATGGTTTAATAATGACAAAACTATAATTCACTTGTAATCATTACACCAAGCTCCATGGTGCTTAGAAATCTAGTGATTAACTCTGAACCCAAAGTACTATTCATGACTTTAGAGTTACCCAAAGTTCTAACTGCCCATTTTCCACTTTGGGATGAGAAACTTTTTTTTTAAAGACAGTTATCGCCATACTGCACAACTGAACACAGTTTATTGTGTTTGAAAGAAAATGTGAAAATTAATGAAAGTTATGATGAATAAGAATATGTCATTAGTACACCCTAGTGGTGTCCAAAATAATTCAGATCTGAAATGTCCCATTTTGAGTTTCCAATAGTCATTTCAACATCAGCTGAAGTATTTTGACACTGACATAGCTCAGAGCTTGGACTCTCAGAAGATCAGCATCAGAAAATGTTTTTCAGCTGGTTTTGTAACTAAAACAACTGTTTCCAATCCAAAGCACTTTGCACCACTTAAGTTCACCACGGCATATTGAAAAGGTGGACCTTATAACTGAACACTTAAAAAAAACTAATATAAGAAAAAAAAAGCTATACTACATGAGGAAAGTGGACTACTTAGAAGAAATAACACATGTCAATACAGTTTTTATAAGCAACCAGATAAGCACATCTAGAATGAACTTTTTCTTTTTCACACACAAAGAAAAAGGATTTCTGCAGAAAGCCTGATCCGTGCCAAAGCTATTATTTGTGAAGATATCTTGTGAAGAGATAGCCCGTGGAAAAAACATCACTTGAGAAGAGCATTCAAGAGCTTCTTCAATTCTAATCTTAGGGTTGCAAATGAAATTAAATTCATTTTACCCATTGTGCTTGGATCCTGCGTAAGTACAATAAACACGCTCAGAATTTCTCACACTGACACAGAAGGTAAGAACTGCTGTTTTGAGATTGCCTGTTGGAACTTGCTCTTTGCTCTTTAGGGCAGCTCTGTTGACAAGAGTTATTTTTATGCTTCAATCACACACCATTAGACAGAAATACATGATTATGGATAAAAATTATTTCTTCCAAGGACCATTAGTGGTCAGGAGGGGAAGTCCACTGTGGTCATAGGTGACTATGGAAGAATCTGAAATAATGGAAAGAAATCATCCTGCCCTTCTCCCAACTTCAGACATAATTTACATCATTTTCTAGACTTTGCAGAAAAGCTTTTGAGCAACCAAAACCCATACCGCAATCAAGGCTTTGAAGACCCAGTATTAGATGTTATATTTATGTCAGCGCTTCTCAATATCAGCAACTTTTAAAATGTGTGGACTTCAACCCCCAGAATTCCCTGTGCTGGCTTGATAATTCTGGGAACTGAAGCCCAAACATCTAAAAGTTATTTGAGACTGAAAGATGCTGAAATAAGTTGTCCCATTTCCTTTCAAGCTTTAATACGTAGCTTCCATCTTTCCTGAAAGGTAAGACCTCATCTGAAAATTAGCTTCAGAAGAAATTAGTAATAATAGTAATAACAGAACTAGTAGTAAGTAATATCATCATCATCATCAACATTCTTATAACTATGTAAGCGCTTGCATTCCTGTAAGGCATGGAGTTAAGAGCACTGTCCAGTAAAACAAAGACTATAATTCCACAAACATACAGACATCAAATACCCGTTTCTATAACACCACGATTTTTCTTCCTTTTACATACAAAAGCATTTTTAAATGATCTGAAATCCATGTTGATCATTTTTAGTCCCATTCATTTCACAGGTATACATGAGTGTGAGAAATCAATTGCTGCCAACTGGAAATATGGTACTTATTATTGACAACTAATTATATGAAGTACATGACCTGTGTACTTTAACCCTATGTAATATTTTTCAACTCCAAATAGCGAGTAAAAAGCATCTGGTAAATGAGCACAATCTAGTACAGCAATTTGATAAAGAAATCGCACATTTCAAAACAGATACTGTACTGAAAAGCGGTGACATTATCTTACTATCCTCATTCTTACTTTAGAATCAGCATGTCCATGCAAACAACAAATAACCTCACATTTATGAGCAGCAGAATTTTTTTTTAAAATGAGGGCATCAATGCTTATTCCACATAGGAGCTGCAATTGGCCCCTGTGGAGACCTTTCAACAACAACAAACTCATCAGGGTTGCCAACTGCTTGGTAGTGGATTAACAAATCCTGAATAGCGCGTTCTTCAATCTGAAATGAGAGGGGAGAAAAGGAAGGGAGAAAATCTCAGGTATCTGGCAAAAATTGGAATAAGAGCAAAAACTCACAGGGCAAAGTACACAGGGCAGTGACTAGATCTTTCATACACACTAAAATGTTTAATGGGATAAATCACAGCTTATTACTTTCAATTATGGATTCTGGATTCCACAGTTAGAAGAGCAATCCATAAGGTTTTAGCAAAACACAAGGGAAGCAGCCATCAATTATATCCTGCTATGCTACTAAAACCACGATAATTTAGTGTAATCTAGGTGTAAAATGCTTAAACTGAAGTTTAAATAAACGAATTGCAGCCTAAAACCTTAAGAATATTGTACTATATGGCATTTTTAGAAACACCACTAAGGCTCCTTGGAACCCCAAAAGAAGGAAGAGGTGAAAAGAAGGCAAGAAACAGACTTTCGTATAGGGCATAATTCTGACTTTTATTACTCTTTACCTGGATCAAAGCTAAAGGTTTTTCTCTACTTCGTATAAGAGCAGCTTCTTGCTGAAGTTCTTCCTCTACAATTTCTGCAAATGTCATAGGCAATGCTGCAGCCGGGTTTCTTAAGGGTGATGCTAACCAAGGACTGCAAGATAAGTTACAAATAATAAAGCATCACATTTTTACAATATGTACTTTTGTACATATATATTTGCAGTATAAATTTAACTTACTTCTGATTTTCTGATGGTGTTGGTTCACAAGAATAGTCACTTTCTGCTCCAAGAGCAATGGTGTTTTCGTACCTGCCAACAAAAATAAGTACAAGAATTTTTAGAGAGCCATGGTGGCGCAGTGGTTAGAATGCAGTATTGCAGGCTAATTCTGCTGACTAAGAGCAATTCAATCCTGACCAACTCAAGGTTGACTCAGCCTTCCATCCTTCTGAGGTCGGTAAAATGAGGACCCAGATTGTTGGGAGGCAATATGCTGACTCTGTAAATTTCCTAGAGGGGGCTGTAAAAGCACTGTGAAGCGGTATACAAGTGCTATTGCCATTGCTAATACCAAGTGTTCTTTAAGGTACAAAAGGCCAGAACACAGAGCCCAAATAACTTGTATAAATGCAGCACTCTTGTCTTTCACACAGTAAATGTTGTGACCACATAATCTTTATTCAGCAGGTAGGTACTAAAATGTTTCAATCAACACTTCCGTGAAGACATAAACAGCCACTGCAGCGTTGGGATTCACTAGTAGAGAATATGAGTCAGAGGAATGGTATTTTAAGGAGAAAAAATGGTTGAGTAAAATAGAACAGTACTTCAGCTCAGGATGGTTGTTTTGACAGGACTGGAATTGGCAAACATTCCTTTGGTTATGGTAGAGTGGCATATATCTAGACTTTAAAACTAGACTGCACATCAGGAGGAAAAAATAAGAGACATTCCGTTCATCTGCATCAAGTAAAATGTTTTGCAGTCCCAAAAGGATGATCTGTCGGTCATATTGCCTTACCCAGGGACAATGGATGAAGGTTATAATGTAGCCTCCTAATCTTCCTTTGATATGATGCCATCAACTTTTGGGGGGAGGGAGGAACAGGTACAGCTAGCAGCAGAAGGGCAACTTTTAATCATTTCAGTGCGTTGGAGGTAAGAACAGTTTGCTTCCCATTCCCATCATTATAACTTCCCAAAACTTTAAAACGGCTGACGGTGACCCAATTAAGAAAGATTTCAGTCTTTGGAATATTAGATCATGAATAGTAGGAAAGAATGCAGGAGGCACCCCAGCAGCCTGCTGCTCTCACCCTTCCGTTTTGAGGAAACAGAAGTCATGAAAAGTCATACTGAAATTTGACTATTTTGTCACTGAATTTTGGCAGCCTAATTTCATGCTGGACGGCCACCAAATGGCCATCACATCCTTACAGAATGTACACCAAAGTAAAATAATACTTCTTTACTGACCTCTTTTATCCTTGCATGTATTTCTCAGAAAGGTATTTTATCAGAAATGGCAACACAATTTAAATCTTTCTCACCTCAAACATTTTTGAGCTGGTACATTCTCCATCACGTTAGCACAATTGGCACCAACTACTTTTTTCTCTTCTAACAGAAGATCTCTGAATGATTTTGGCAAAGCAGAATGCAGTGAGGAAGCCCTAAAGTAAAATAAACCAAATCTTACTACGCTGCATTTACTGATAATCCTAGTGCAATTCTTCCACCAACTAACTTTTCTATAGGTTGAAATGAACCTCTCAAAAGAATGAATCTTCATAATTGCTGTCCTAGAACATTACTTTTCTGTATTCGCTACTTCCGCGTTCAATCAGTACAATGCATTGAGGAATCTGCTTTTGCTAGAAACTCTAAAATCATTCAATTAAGGGTAAGTAATGCCTTTGGAGGGGGGCCTTTAACATAATCAATGAAAATCACAAAATAATATCATACACTGAAAGATATTATCAGTAGGCTGCATGGATGATGCGTTCCCTCAGGACACCACTATAGGACATTGCACGCCATCACTCTGCTGCACACCCAATTACCACAGTTCTGTTTTACGTCTAAGGATATTTACCCATGTAGTATGGCTGTATTACTCTTATCTATCTCATCTTCTCTTATTGGTATGATTATATACTTTATTGTTTGTATGGATACTGAGAGCTTATAAACCGGAAACAAATTCCTTGTGTATCCAATCACAGTTGGCCAGTAAGTATTCTACTCTATCAGTAATCCGTCTGAACCTAATATAGCTTGCTAAATTTATAGCTCAACTACACTAAATTATATGACCAAAACCAAAAATAAGTTGTAAGGGACACACAAAGTAATTAACAGTGACTAGTCTCCCCTTCTAAACTGACTTTCCTTCTTGAAGCGTGGGTTGAAAATAGCTGAAGTAGGGCTTATTTTAAGGAAACTATTTGAACAATTCTGTTACCTTAAAATAGGGGTGAGCACAAATATATGATGGCCTTATAAAGTTTTCCTTTCTACTATCACAACAAAAAAACCATTGCACCATTTTTTTCTCTGTTAGACACAAAATGCTCTCCCTCTCAACAAGGTATTTCTTCTTTTCAGGCGTTGGAGTAATTGGGATGTTGTGGTCTGCACCTCCATTAAGTTTCAACATTCTAGATGAAGAAACACGCTTACAACGTTAATGTACCGTGAGTATTGCAAGCCTCCTCATGGCCTGAGTTAGGCAAAGGAGGAGGTTTTTCAATTAAAGCCACCGAAGGTCTTAAGCATAATATGAGAAATAAACAATACTCAGAGATGAGAACCTGCTAAACCTGTTAACTGAGGGGGAAAAAACCTGACCATCTGGCACTTAGGAAAGTAACAGCATAATGTATCCTGCCAGGAAGAAGTCGCATCTCCCAAATAGATAAATTGTTATGTTCTTTCACCAGAGATGTATATGCACACATACACACATATTTGGAAATTATACTTAAATCCATTTCCGAATGGAAAGATTAGTCTCTGTTCTTTTAGTGTTCTTCCACGTTTCACTCTTAACAATAATCTCTACATATTTTATTTAATTAATCTTCAAAGAACAATATGAATCCCTGATTCCACAAAACCGTGAAACTGGACATTATTTTTGGCAAGAAAAATGCAAGTACGTTTTAAGGTAGCCTGAATCTCCATGTCAACCCCCCCAAAAAAAAGAATTCCAAAAGGTCCCACACGTGTTGTCTCGCCAGAAGACCTGCTGGATTTCCAAGACAAGTATCTTGTTTCATTGCAAAACAACGCTTCAAGAGAATGCCATATATGTGCAAGCACAGAGATCTCAATGCCAAATGCCATGTTCGTTTTTAAAAATTAGAGTTATGCCATATCAACGTATCTCAATGTTAAGTACATCTCCGTTTTTCTCACTATTAATATTCAGTGAATACTTGATTTACTAATACTATTTACTGATACAAAAACATAAACAAACTAAGCCTAAGATATTAGTTTTACTTGGAAACCTTAAAGACAAAGATAAATACAGTTATTCAATGAATCATGTGCATACACGAGTCTACAAATGACTCTATAAACTTTTAAAATAAAGATTTTGTACTTCCTTTGGACATAGTCATGTTCTTGGTCCAACTACCCAATATTTCCAAAGAACACCCCCTGTAGTGATACTTCATGGTCTAAAGGAGTTTCTTTTCCTATCTAGAGATGCTAGGGATGAATCAAAAATTGTCCTTCCCATACATGAGTCTGAAACAAAACTGAAATGACCCCAATAAGCAGTAATCTATAAAAATAAGAAGGCTCATACCACACAGTTGCTGATTTTGTAGTTTTGGGAGCTGCAGATAGCACAACTACATCTGGCACAATCTCTGGGTTGTTATCCTTAGCAGCCAGAGCCATCAGTTTCTTTTGCTTCTGAGAAAGTTTATTTCCATGAGAAGTCGCTCTACTAAAATTAGACACAGAAATGTAACATTATGTTACTAAAGTTTATCAAACAGAACTATCCAAAGACTATTAGTCACAAAACTAATGGATTATACATTGTGAATTTACAAAATTATTTGCTATTGTTGTCTAAATTCATAATTAGAATAGCAGTTTTAAAAAGAAATGTTCCTAATTGTGATTATGTATCTATATAATGACCCATGTTTACAACACAAATTCTGCATTACTAATGCTAATTTTTAATCCAAAACTGAAACTTCAGAAACATTGTTTGTAACAAAGTTGTGCTTTTTTTAAAAAAAAAAGATACCCAACAAATTAGGACTTTAATACTCATACTACTCAATACAAATGGATTGTATTGCACTCTTTTTTACTAACCATGAATTTATTTTTGGCATGCCTTCACATTTCTGCAAATTTTCTTCACTTTCCATAATAGTTCTTAAATCAACAGCAGGAGGACTGGCAGGACTGAATAAAAAAAAAAATACAAATTGTTCACTTTTTAAGATATCTATTTTTACTTACATTCCAGTTGCCAAACACCATTGTAGCCTTCTATATGTAACCGGATGTATAATTTATGTCTACCTCCTCAATTATGGCAAACCTCAAATAGAATGTTTTCGAATGAACGCTTTATTTATATATATTTTTCAGGAAACATATACACCAAGGATACTTTTAGATCCACTAACAAGACTCGGTAAAATATTTAAGATAGAATTTTAGGAAGCATGTATGGTTATTTTTCTTTTAAAAACTATCATGAATTAATTATTACAGATGGAAAATTTGGAACTGCAACCAAACATAATTAGGCTTGCAAGAGTGCTCACTGAAAGGTAGAAATTAGCAGGCTATGCAGAAATACATTTAATGTTTTGTGCAGAATGATCACAAACTAGCCGTAAAGTCAGGTGATTTCATTCTTCAAAAATTATTTTGATGAAGGCCCCGAATTTTAATGGAGAGGGAAGTTCACATTCCACAGAGGACAGAATTTGACAAAGGCAGAAACACAGAGAAAATGTATACCTAAAAGAGCTGGCAACCCAGTTGGAAGGACTCACATAGGTGCTTTTGTTACTAGGAATACTCTGTGGAAGAGAATGTTTTTGCACTGATGATCCATGACAGATTTTTATTTCTTTATTGGCAGGAGAAACAAATGTATTTGAAATATCCATTTTCTCTTTCACCTGTAGTCAAAACATACAGCCATTACATTGTTACAGAAAAGGAACCTTATGAAGTTTTCAGATAATAGAGTTCAATCTATTTTGGCTGAAGTCTACAAAAGCAACTACTCTCTCTCTCTCTCTCTCTCTCTCTCTCTCTCTCTCTCTCTCATTTTAAAAGCTAGTTCTCGTGTCACACTGCAACGCTTTTAACATGCTTCATCTTGGGAAATTCACCTGGACAAACCCTACTGACTTTTGTGCCACTTTCTCAACTGATTTTTATTTCTCTTAAATGATTTATATGGCTACCCATGTCACAATGATGATTCTGGGAAGCCCATGAAAATTGAAGCATGAACCATGGCAATTCAATGATTGCATTCTCCAAGAAGTTTGGAAAGGAGGACTGTTTTGGCCTGATGTGCTCTAGGAGCTTTTTTTTTTTTTTTTTTTAAACAAGTGTTTTGACACGCAACACTCCAGGAGTTTTTGCAAAGGGGCTTTTTGCTGTTCTGCCACTCAGGCATCATTTTTATTTGTATTATTTTTTATGCAACTGAACCCAACCCTGATCATTCCAGCAGTCAGGCAGGGTACACCCGGCAATTAATGAGAGCTCTAAAATGGCAAAAGTGCAGGGCAATAGGGATCTCAAAAGGGCAGGCTGGCAAAAGAGACTGGGATTGGGCTGGAGCAGCTGCAGCTTCCTAGGATGTGGCAGCTTCCCCTAGAGCCCCATGGTTCTGGGTCTGCTTGCTGCCCTGCAAGGCTGGGTCCAGAGTGGCCCAAAGGCAGAGATGGGGGGGGAGATAGACAGTTGGGGGGAACTGGAATGCCTCTGCAGTTTAAGTGCAGGTGAGTTGCCAGGGGCCCCTACATTTCGATAACATAACCACATAACTTTGGGCACATGCTGTATGCCCATTTTTCAGCACTTTCACAATTTCAACAGTTGCTGAACAAATGGTCATGAATCAAGGACTACCTGTAAATTATTCTGCACCAAACAAAACGTCACTTTTATGTGGTACAGTATTTTGCAGATTACAAAGCCACAATCCGTAGTAGAGGGTTAACATCTGCAGAATTCAGGAAACAGCCCCACATAAATGAAATACCCATAAACCGCCAACGCCCAATCGACAGGACATGGCAGTTTAGATAAGAAAGCATCTCCCCTTAGTCATTTAACCATTGGGTAGGGCTATTCTGTCTCTAAAAAGCTTATTAAAGTTTATGCTGTGTTTAATATATGTCAGTATTAAGGAAAAACAATCAGCAAAGACAAACCTCAGTTTTATCCGTAGGGAGACCTGCTGTGAAATCAGGAGACTGCAAATCTCTGGGACTGTTCACTCCCACAGAACTGCCTTCAGAATCAGATGTCAGCATCTCAGGAAGGGATTCAGTAGAATTAGCTTTATCCAGTTTCAATATTCCTACATGAACTGGAGGGGGGGGGAGGGAAATACACAATTATCTTGGGACAAATCAGAAATGTCCAGGGAAGCAAAACTACTGATACTGCATTCTGCTATCTGGAGAATGGATCACTATGCCGTACAACAATGTTCCTGAAGCTCAGCAACTTTTAAGATGTGTGGATTCAGTTCCCAGAATTCCCTTGTCAGTTGGGGATGAAAAATCAAGTTGCTGAGATCCAGAAAGACTGCTCTAGCCGTCAGATTGCCTGCTTGAGTTCATAGAGAAAGGGATTGCCCCAAATCCCCTGTTTCAAACATGCAGTCTTCAGGATCCACTCTTTTATGCCCAATTGTCAAGACTCCCATTGCGTCACATTGTCACTTCTGAGGAACAAGGTGGCAATGGTTTTTCTTCTTTGCTGCGGAGTTGGAATACAAGAATGTGTGACCTCTTAAATACAAATTACGCTATTTCGAGGAAACATTTTGAAACAGCATTGCTTCACGCATGGAATGGTTTTCTGAGTAATTGAAACACCTCTTTCAAATTTTCAGTTCAAGATTGCACGCCTCAGTGATGTGTGTTATAATAAGTTGCTTGCATGAAAAAAAAAGATTGGTACATTTTCTTCTTACAGAATAAATTTATCATTTGGAAAATGTAACACAATCTTCCTTTTAATTTTCCTTTAGTAAGGTTAGGAGGGCTACAACCCATTTAATTTCCAATTAAGAATGTAGCAAAAAATAGTATTGTTTCTACATAGTCACTATTTTTTACACACATTACATTTAATAGTATTTATTTCACACAATTCAAAAATGTTACTTTGAAATGTTACTTTAAAACTACACAAAAATGACATGAAGAAAATAAGTAATCTGCTACGTGCAGGACGCTAAATATACTTTTTATTACAGGGAATTCTAAAATGCTCAACTATTTAACTCTAAAATGCTCAACTATTTAACCAATGTAAGCTAATTCTATGTGACTGATACAGGCAGAAATGCACCCATTTTAATTAAGTAATCATTACATAATTAAGGAAGTGTTAATTTTATTTTTTAAAAAACCCTTCTTAAAATATAAGGGTAGATTATACTGGAAAGTGATGAGGTTTTTAGTTCTTTACTGTTGTCAAACGAGAGATATTTATGCATATCCTTGATGTAACCATCAAGATCAATGAGGCTTGAAGTAGTCACTTTGGATAGTGAGATGGGCAGCATATAAATTTATTTATTTATTTATGCATTACTTCAAAATAGTTCTTAGCTTAAACCTGAATGAAATTGAAACTCAAAGACTGAAAACCTCTGGAGTTCAAATCTATATTCACCATTTCTTCAGCTGTATGTTTAATCAGCAAGTTTATATTTTAATAAGTCTTGTCTTAATTATATTGTTATAATAAGTAAACATTATAACTAGAGTATGCATTCATTAAGAGGAACAATGTGTATTTACATGTAACATAGTTACTAAATCGTATCATGCAATTCTTGTGTGTTTGGGTATTTTTATTGTAATTTTTCAGATGACTCTATCATTCTGATCCTCTCTCTTTACTGAGATATCTGCAAACTGCAGCCACCTCCCAGTATTGTGATCAACTTTACAGAAAAGAAACTTCATTGTTTAAATTTCACAAGACGTTGTAGTATTTTTCATTTTACAATCTCCTTTTGTGTGATCTCTCCAGGGACTAATGGCAGTAAACTCTTGTGCATAATGTTATAGGGGGAAAAAAGCACTGTGGTTATTGGGATATGTATTAACTTGCTTCAGCAAAAAAAATAAATTTTAATTTTACCTCCTTGAATGAATGTAAAGGGAAGATATATATAAAAGGGAAGGTATATATAAAAGATATATATAAAAGTTAACATGAATCTTGCTTCAAATAATTAAAACGATGGCATCTTTTTCTGGTGTTCTAAAAACTGTCTCCAGTTCTCTGGAATTACCAACAAAGTGAAGTGGCTGTGCATGTATAGCTTTTAAAGCGGCTACACAAGATGTGAAAAGGACACAGCTCCTGTAATGATTGAAAGAAAGCTACTTCATTTGTGCTATTGTGCATTGTGAAACATCTCTTACACACTCTTTCTACAAATCTAGCACGCAATACTCTTCATTTATGAAGTAACTGAACATTGGGATACATCAAATTCCGAAGTTAATTCTAGCACTACAAAAAACCCCCAGCCATTGTAAGCCATATGTTAAAAGTTCATGCTTTATAGTCATGCCATTATGCAGGAAGTTACCTAAAATCGCTCTTTTAAAAAAATAGATTAGCCCTACTTTTTGCCACTAACCTGTAGGTGGATTCTGTATAATATCTGACAGATTATACCCTCCTGAACTGTCGGAACGTCTTCGAGGTTTCTTTTTAGCCTTTGCTTTAGCTTTCTTGAGGAGTGCTTCTCTAATTTAAAAAAAAACAACAACCAATATTGATTTCCATCTCACTAATTCCTTCAAAGTAATTAAAGTGATCATTGGTACCCTGTAATCTCTAGGCAACAGGCAGACTCCTAATCCTTTTACAGACAATATGTTGAAATTCAGTGGCATGGTTTCCCATTATATTGAGAAAGGAAGCAGATAACAGTTGTAGTAATTCTCCTTAACACAGCAAACGCTCAGTGGAAAACACCCCTCTCTATAGGGAAGAACTCCACTCATTTTGCGTCACTGCCCATCAACTGTGGTAGATAGCCCCAGCCATCAAAGAAAGACCTAAAATATTATTATTCAGTGTTATTCAAACTTGGCACCTTTATGTGTATGGCAACTTCCAGAATTTCCCAGCCAGATGCATCACACATCTTAAAGTTGCCATTTTCAAAAAAAAACCCCTGATTTAAAATGTCCTTCCCTCTTAATGGAGCTTCCCAGATTAAAATTTCTCCAAATTCGAGATCAATGGTTTTCTAGCTCAATTTAGAAAAGCTTTTAATTCCGTTCCAAGGTTCCTTTAGTACTCTGCAATTTACCTTGTACCATAACGCTGAAGTGGGCTTACTACTCATAGTACAGGCCAACTAGGCTCAACACCTGAACATTGAAGTTGCCTAACCTCTTCTCTTCTTCTTGTTTAGCTCGAACCAAGACCATGGAAATTACAGCAGCCATTTATAGTACTCAAGAAGCATCAAAGAAAATCTTCTAAGAGAAGAGTACACAACTCTCAGCTGTTTGAAGGCTGGACCAGACTTTCTGCAGCACGGCAAGCACCCTTCAATGTTTTCAAGAGTGAAATTGGTGCTTTAAGGCATTACAAAGCTCTGAATACACATTGTGCCTCCTTTGCCCCTCCCCCATCAATAAAATGGGCCCTGTTCTTTGAGCCTATTGCCTGGGGAGGGAAGATGGGGGGGGGGCTCTGAAGTCTGGCAGTCCCGCTTTATTAAGAAAGATATTTAATTCCATTCCAAATGTATGACTGTTTCTTAAATATTAGAGCTGTATGGAGTGGCAGTACTTCAGAGCCCTCTGGACGGTCTTCTCTGGAGTGAATGCAGGACTCAAAATCCTGCAATCTAAACGTCAAAGTGTGCCCCTTTGCTCGGATATTGCATTTCAGCAGAAATGATTTTATACATGTGCAAAAGACCGAAGGCCAACGCAGCAGCAGCCCCTCCAGAGTAGCAGCTCTGAGACTCTGCTACAAGGCATGGAGCTACAAAGCTTTGAATACACATTGTGCCTCCTTTGCCCCTCCCCCATCAATAAAATGGGCCCTGTTCTTTGAGCCTGTTGCCTGGGGGGGGGAAGATGGGGGGGGGCTCTGAAGTCTGGCAGTCCCGCTTTATTAAGAAAGATATTTAATTCCATTCCAAATATGTGACTGTTTCTTAAATATTAGAGCTGTAGCAGCCCCTCCAGAGTAGCAGCTCTGAGACTCTGCTATAATTAAAGGCTACTTCCATCCGAAGAATGAAGCGCTTCCTTCAGAAGAATTCAGAAGAATACTTCGATCAGAAGGAAAAGAATTCTCACTGCAAAGCTTGCTCTGTGTTCCGCTCCTCTTTTAGGAAGACAAAGGTTTCTCCTTCCTCAGGCTCCAGAGAACTAATATCAGGACCATCTTGGTAGGGAGTAATTACTCTGCGCTCCATAGCAGGAATCTGCAACATTGTAACATCTTTTTAATTTGAAAATTAGGAGGGGGGGGAAAAAAAAGGAAAGTATCAAATTTGTATTTGAAAAAGCTGTTAGGATGCTTAAATTCTGAAAGAAAGAAAAAAACCGTAGAGCAGGGGTTCTCAACCTTGGCAACTTTAAGACTTGTGGACTTCAACTCCCAGAATTCCTCAGCCAGCTTTGCTGGCTGAGGAATTCTGGGAGTTGAAGTCCACAAGTCTTAAAGTTGCCAAGGTTGAGAACCCCTGCCGTAGAGTTTAGAGTGCTACAATGTTCTAACAGTGTTATATAATGAATGAATGAATCTCAGAGAACAATATATAAAAAACACCTAACGCAGCCTTCTTTATCAAAAAGTAGAAAATGTTTGTGCGTTTTTACTTATATTATACAAATGCAACACTGTTTTTTGCTGCCCCGGGAATTTTAATGCAATATCAAAAGAAAACCTATATTATTCTCTAAATCAACTTTTTCTGCCAAGGAAAAAAGCAACATCGGGGATGGCCAATCTTTTCAGGATGCCCCCACTCCGATGCATTCATAAATCATTATCAAGGACAGTAAAAATTAAAAATAAATTTACCAAAATCTCAGTAACGCCAAATTTACAAGCATGAATGCTGGAATGTCATGGTATTTCTAGACCTAAAACCTGATGTAATATTGAATAGGGATATTCCAAAAGTTTCACATAAATTGCAAGCATCTTGGTTCCAACATATGTATTTCATGCTACCATCAGTTGTGCTGCTCAACTGGTTATACTATTTTTAGAGCTGCATTGCTAATCCTAAAGCTATGTTTTTTTACAAAATGAGTAACTATTTACTCTGTCAAGATTCATTAGTGCATTTCATTTTATTTGGAACATCCCACAATATCTATAATTTTAATGAAGCATGAGACTCCTATCAATGCCACTTATAACCCAAAATAAACTGGGAAGAGGATTTCGATTAAAAAAAAATAACTTCAAAATGAACCTTATCACTTAGTCTACATTCACCCAAACAGATACCGTGTTTTCCCGAAAGTAAGCCCTACCCCCAAAATAAGCCCTTAAAAATCAAGCTAGCATGGGGGCGGTGGTGTGGATCTGCCCCACGCACCCTGCACCCACTTATCTTGCAGCCAGGCCTCTCCTCGCTGGCCCACTTCTTCTGAGGTGTCTTCTGCAGCCAGGCCTGCATTTCTCAGTCACAGGCCTTTCTGGAAGGCCATTGCAACCAAGAACTGAGCTATGGATTCAATCCATAGCTCAGTTCTGCAAGACCTCTGCAGCCAAGAACCGAGCTATGGATTGAATTCATAGCTTGATACTCAGCTGCATAGACCTTCTGGAAAGGCCTGTGACTGCAAAATGCAGGCCAGAATGCAGCTGCTCCTTCGGCCCCAGAAGAAGTGGACCTGCTGGGCGGGGCTGTCAGTGCCAGAGGTGAGTAAGTCTTCCCCCCAAAATAAGACCTGGTGCTTCTTTTGGAGGCAAAAAAAAAAAAAATAAGACCCGGTCTTATTTTTGGGGAAACAAGGTACCTAGAAATTTTATTTTTCAAGTTAATTTAAATTGCGGTCTGTAGTCTGTTTTAGCTAATCAGTGCAGAACTCACCATTTTTCTGTAAGAGATAGAAAGATCTTTCAAAACTTCATCACTTAAAACATCCAGAACTCTATGACAAATTCAGATGAAATGTGATTCAGTAATTACATCCTGCTGTGCCCAGTAGTAATCAATGAAAGCTGAACATATTGATTTCTGAATATTATTTAAAATTCATTTTCTTAAAGCATAGAGTATACTAGACTTAAGTTCTAAGTGACCGGAATTTGGAAAAGAGGCATTTTGAACTTGGAACAAAACAGCACCTTGAAATGAATGCATTCCATTGGAGCAAAATTTGAAACCTGTCAGATGTTTTATTTCGCCCTCAAAATACAATTTTTGGAATGTGTATGTTCTGATATGAGGTCAGAATACTCAAATCGGCTGTTTTAACTTCAAAACTCTTCATATGTGAAAACAGAATTGGTTAAATAGCAGCATTTAAAGAAAAAAACTTTTACACCTCATGTAGGTATATATTCAAAGTGTGGGTGTTTTTATTAAATATATGGATTATGTTGTTAGTTAATATAATTCTGTTATGCCTATTTTTAGTACTTTTGTCCTGTTCCAATTAAAAAGCAAAAGAAAATCTTGCCTCTAGACCAGGGGTAGGCAACCTTGGCTCTTTTATGACTCCCAGAATTCCTGCTGAGGGGAAAGGGAGAGTTTCCAAGCTGAGCCATGCTAGCTCAGGAATTCTGGGAGTTGAAGTCCACAAGTCATAAAAGAGCCAAGTTTGCCTACCCCTGCTCTAGACAGTTTGATTTTGATGTCTAGGTTTCATATTTCCAAATTGAAGAGAGGGCTAAAGGATGTGTAACCATTCAGTAAGACATATAGATATCAAGGCCCTGCTCTTACCGTGTTTCAAGCATGGCTGCCATGTTTAACACAATGAACTGCAAGCAAGACTGTTTTAGCTGTTCAGCATTATATGTGGCTGAAAATTCCAGGAGCTCAGCAGTATTCTTTAAAGTCACTGAAATTTATAAATATTTGTTATTTATTTGGAGAACATGACAGAGACAAATAAAGTGATCTCTTTTCACCTGGTGCCAATTGTATAGGATCTATACGTCAAGAAAGGTCTATAACCATATTTCAGTATTTCACAAGGTTCTGGGGAATTTTCTAAAATGCATACTCAGATCACACTGACAGCAAGAATTCATGGAGCATAGATTGAAAACTGTGGGTAACTGCACTTATTTATTTATTTTTAAGAATGGGATTTCTTCTTCCATGTTTAATAAACAACACGACCATGTGCTCACTATGATACAAATTTTTACATTATCTTCATAGGAAATGAAAGTACAACAACATTCTGAAACAAAAACTCACATTTCTCTGTAATGGCTACTTCACAAATTTCTTTTAACCGTAACATAAGGAGCTGGTCTGCCACCACAAGAACATTGCAGATGAATTCCACATTTTGAGATTCTGGAAATCAGTGAATAATTGTAACTTGAACCAATTTTCAATTCACTCTTACTGTCCATGAACCAATATCATTACATGCTACCATTTGTAGTATATTAATTCACTTTACACCTAATGGTTTCAAATGATTGAAAAAGAATATGCAAGTTGTCCCCTAGAAATACTTCTATTTCATTTTCCACAATGAATTATTTTTTTACCCTTTTCCTCATTTCACCTTTCTACAAACATATTTTCAAAAATATCTTACTATTTGCAACAGTTACTGTGTGGGGAGTATAGGATGCCAATTTTAAATGAAGAGTGTTCTCTCCTCATGTAATCTTGGCCTCATTTGCAGTGGAGTTTCATACCATAGTTTGGGGCTGTCAATACTACTTTCTTTTTTACTCCCAATTTCCACTACCGATGTTTATCTTATCCCTAATCATGTGCAACATGAATTTTCTCCAAGGATACTCAAACTTCCTATTAATTCCTAACACTACTCATTTTTATTCTAGTAATGTAAGAAAGGTTAATGCTCTTACCATTTACTGCAACAGCTTCATCTGTGTAAATATAATCCAGGATGACCTGCAGGATTTCAGATGAGAACGGCAACTCTAGAGATGCACAACATGTTGCCTACATGAAAAGGAGTTTACACAAACATTTTCAGTGCAAATCCACTTTATGATCCAGGACACTTTTGCTAAGAATTTTCAAAACAAGTCGTCAGATTTCAAAAGACATATGCTGCCGACACAAAATAACTGTTAAGAAATAAGTATCTATGATTTTCAGATAATGAATATCATTTGCTTATTCTATTGATAGTTCACACTGGTATACATTATTTTCATGCTTGAAAATCAGGAGGGATTTCCCCAAAATTGTATTATCCAAGGCATGCTTTTTTCCGTGACAGCCAGATTAATGCTTCTTACATTTTAGCATAATAGGTACAAAAGAAGCAATATATTTAACCAACTCTGGTTTCTACATGAATTATGCTTATATACCTCTTCTCTGAAAGATGATGGAACCCTATCGAACAAAGAGACTTCACAGAATTATCTGTTTCCAATGAGATCAGTTGCCAGGAAGAAAGCTAATGCACAGAATAAAGCTAAAAAGCAGTTGGCAGGCTCTTCTGATAGCAATACTTCGGATCCATACAAGCCCTTATGTTCTCATAGCATATTGTATAGGAATTAATGATACAGTATATCACATCCATGCCTCATCTATTGTTTTGAACTATCAAGCCAAATGCAAACAAGGGGGAAAATCTCATATAAACACAGTATCCTGAAGACATAACTGAATTATTTCAAAAATTTTGGCAATGCTCCATTTTGGAAAATAACTGTAAGTGGAGTCTACTGAATGCTCCATAGCTATTAGTCATCCACTGGCACTTTCAGTATACGCTAATTTGAAAAAGACTCGATCTGATTTCATGCTTTCAAGATTTAATAGAAAAACCATTGAACATTCACACAAAAAGAATTCCCAGTGCAATTGGGGAGGGGGGGGAGGAAGGCTTGGATTACTGTTACCTAACACTAATATGTGCACATTATTAGTGATATAACAAGCCATGCTCATTCAGGCACAGCCCTAGAAAATGAAGTGCCAGATCCAGCAATAAATCCATTGCCTCTGTTAACATTACCAACAACCCACGAAATCTCTGTTTTAGATTTTATTGTACTGGATGTTGCTTTTAACTTTCAGAATGTTTACGAGTTGGGCAACTTTGGAAAGTTGGGTGATAAATAATAAATGTGCCACTTAACTAGCCATAGTTAAGGCTATGGAAAAATCTATTCCATTGCCATCAGGAGAATAGCAAGGAACCCAAGCATTCAGAAAACAGGACACAGTGAAATGGAAATAAGTGGAGTACAAGAGTGAAGAATCAAAGAATCTGCCGATATGGGATCAAGGGTTAACAAATGGGGTAGACAGAATGCCTAATGGCTTCACCAGACCACATGGACTTCACTACAACAGAATGTGTGACAATAGGAAAAAGGGGTGGCCTTGCTCCAAGATCCAGATATCATCTGGGATTATACTGGCTGGCACACTTTGAGAAAAGAATTACTGCTGCTGTTGTTGTGACAGTGGCTTCTTAAAATCACAAATACAATTTCTATAAAAGTTAACTCAGCCTACTCTTTTAAACACTCTCTTAAAAATACTCTTTTAAAATGCTCCGTTATCTATTAAGAATCTACTAAAAAAATTGCAAATACTCTTTTTAAATGCTCCTTTATCTATTAAGAATCTACTCAGGTCTTCTAAGGCCACTTCTAATAGGCAATGAGGACATTTTAATTTTCTTCCATGTGAACAGTTTTATTATTAACTATTTAATACTTCCCTTTTCCCTGAATATCTGAAGTTTTTCCCAATGAGCAAGGTCCTGCTTCCCACCGTCATATTTATATACATATCATGTCATTAAAATCTATCAATATAGTGAAGCTAATATTTAATACTAATTATAAGTATTAAAATGAAGTATACATTCTTTAATCAATTATACAAAAAGCAAACACTGCTTTTTTCTTGAATGATTTTTACATCCTTAACAGGCATGCTATAGGGCATTACTTTAATATACTTCGTAAGAAATTATTTTCTTCACATAATCCCCAGTAAATACTTTTGCACAATTTCTTTTTTAAGAAAGGCATTGGTAATGGATCTGCACACTCACCTCAATCCAAGAGTTGCTCAGCATACTGTGAAAGTAGTCTGCAAAGGAGAGAGATTTCATTCTGACACATATTAAAAAGACACAGAGCTATTAATAAACTAGCCCAAGCCACTTTATATTATACCTACCAAGTCTAGCACAGAGCACACATTTGTGGCATGGGAATTCCTTTCCATCTTTAGACTTGATAGTCACATCACAAAGGTGTGAACTGGAAAAAAATGACATTATATAGAATACAATATATACAAAGATTTTACTGATTATTCAAAAACAGCAATTTATTCCTTGCAAAGCTTAACATGTAAACACACAATGTATTTATTTATTAAAAAAAAATAAAAGCATGCAATCACAAAAGCTTCAGCCTTTTTTCAAACGTTAACCAAAGATGGAGCTGGCAATCTTTCAAGCAAGTTCAAGTTCAGCACCAGCTATCTGTAGCATCCTTATGTTGGGTACCCAGAACTGCTGTACACACGAGAGTTTTGCAAAGCATTTCAAATCTGAAACATTTTAAGCTTAAAATGGATTGTTCCAACCACAGTGGGAGTGTCCCAATGCTGTTCCACCTGCAGTGAAAGTATTTCAAGCTCAAAGCAGCAAATGTAAACGCAGATCATTTCTGCCATAGTCACCATGGGGTCATAATATTTATGGTAAAGTTGGGACTATCAATTGTGAATACAAAATATTCAGAAGAGACTGGCAAAAGCCAGGAAAGAGGAATTATCTAGCTGTACTGGACATATTCAGAGCTCAAAGTGTGTATTTTGAACTTGGAATACTTTCATTATTAGAAGGAACAACATTTTCATGTTCACTATGTTTGGAAACTTTTAAGCTTAAAATGTTTCAAATGTAGAGCTTTCTTCAGCTATATTCCATATATTACCACAACAGAAAGACATTTTGCCTTCTTAGCCTTTTTAAATTCCTGGATATTTTCTCTATGATCTGTCTTAAATGATGCCAACATAAATCATCTTGAATATAAAAATCATTCAAGAATAAAGCAATAAGTGCTTTTTGCATAACTGATTAAAGAATGTATACTTAATTCTATTTAATATCTATAATTAGTATTAAATATTAGCTGCACTATATTAATTGAGTTCTTCAAGTAATTCTGTCAATTCTAGTCTGCCCTTGAGTTTTCTCACATAATCACGTGGAATACTTCTAAGGTCATATTCTTCTTGCTCTATTTTTTTTTTATTTTAAGTTGTAATTTTGCAAAAACAAATTTGTGATCGAAACCAACGATCAGTGCCAGATCTTGTTCTTGCTGACTGAACAGAGATTCTCCCTTTTTGTTTGCAGACATCAATTTCATCTTGCCCATCTAGAAATGTGCATTTGTAGAGACATATTTTAAGTTGTTTGGAAAATAAATTTGAAGAATTTGTTATCAATGTTGAAATTATTTTTGCTATAAATATTGAAATTATTTCTTAACAGTTACTATCTTGCTTTATTTTATACACCAAAGCCATTTTTCCACTATCTGAGATGCTTTGCTCCCTTAGCCCTTAGCTCTTAGATATCCTAACAACGTCTATTTCTGGTGTTGTTGAGCCAGCAAGTTGTTGCAAGTCACAATGCATGTGTTCATCCTCCAATTCCTCTGCTTCTATGGTTGGAGCCGTATCCTCAAATTTCTGATTGCTTTGCCTAGCATTCAGGTTGAGATTATTCTATCATTTCTCAGGCTGTATAGCAGAACTGACTTTGACTTCCTTTTGCTAATTGATGCTCTGTTATTTTAATATCTTCTTGCCTGCATTAGATCCAATGTTACTCTGATGTGTTCCATTCTATTTCAATTTGCTAATTCTGGGAATGTCAATGTCCAGTACTGACATTTCTATCTGACAATATCGTGTTTGCTTTGGTTCCCCATTCTGCCATTCCACATACCAGTGTTCCAATGCTAAACGTTCTTTTGCTTCTGGGCACATCAGGATTGGCTTCAGTCCAAAATAAATTTATTTAAATTTATTTATAAACTTTATTGTCATTGTATGTGTATACAGTGTACACATACAATGAAATTTACGTGACACCCAAAGACCAGGTCCCACACACATAATCCCCAAACACACTCCCACCCACCCCTAAAACCACCCAAAACATCCACCCAACAGACCAAGTAGTACTCTCCAACAGTTCACTGATGGTGGCCCTTTAGTTCATTACTGAGTGCAATTATAGCTCTGGGATAAAAACTATTCAGCATTACTTGTAATACCCTCTGCTCTTTCCCCAAAGCTCATTGGATAGCTTCTGACCCAAGGAGTACCTTCTAGTATAATACTGACATTGAATGGGTTGCGAGGGTCCATTTGGTTTTCTTGGCAGAATATTGGAGTGGACTATCATTTTCTTTTCCAGTGGATCTTGTTTAGTCTGATCCCTCTACTAAGTTCAGCCTCTCATGGATGACTCTTCTTGGACTGTACACTCTATAGCATAGTTCATAGCCATCATTGAGATTGAAACCCCTTCACCCGCAATTCATGAAGAGTAATTTCTAGATTACACGTTGGTTTATTTAGCCTTATAATCCCCACCTCTTCCAAATCCTATAAACTCACCATTTTTTCTGACTGAACTTTGGTTTGTTGCCATTTTTTCTGTTCACAACATTAACTCTTCCGTTTTCTATCCTGATTCCATCTAGCCTGCATGAAAAAAATGTTTTAAAAATCACATTTGTAGAGGGAAATCATGGTTATTACAAGAATTTATTTTGAAAGTAACAATAAATAACCAATAGAAAATTTATCTGCCAAAGTTCAATACATGGTATTTTTTCAGCAGTGAGTACACTTTTTTTCAGAATTAGAAAAAAATCTGCTTTTGCATGCATTTATTTGTCTATGCCAGCAAAGTAAAAAGATTATGGAGGCTTCCTAAAAACAGGAAAGGAATTAGGGAAGCTAAACAGGATTTGCAGCATTACTTCAAATCCTTGGTAAAGCCCGTAACTAATTTGTATAATTTTGTTATTATACTTTGAGTAGCACAGTAAATGCAGTAGAATGTACACTGTCAACTTATACAAACAAGATACATCTTCAGTTGTTAAATTTTCTGCATATTTGTAAATGATTTCAGCTGTATGGTTCAAACAGCAAGGTGGAACCCTCCTCTTAAGAATATTTTCTGTTCATAAAACTTTGCTACAATTGTACATAACTAAATACCAAAAGCCACATATTTCCAAATAATTTTTTTGAATGTAGAATACCACCCATTACCAGACACATCAATATTGGTCCAGATAGCTAATCTGAAGATTAAACTACTATGTACAAAATCATAAAAAGGCATCACATACCTTGAACTTAAATTACTAAGACCAAATTTCTTTGCAGCAATTTGCAACATTTTAACAAGATTCATTTCTTCTCCAACATCTTTGCATTTTTTAGAAGTGGGTTTTGATTTACTTCTCTGTTTTTCATTCATCATCTGCACTTGGTTGCGTCTATAAACTGCAAATGCAGACTTGTTATTAACGTCCCCATGAATAGCTATTTTATTCAAGTTTGTAATTAAGTTGTCTTCATCCTCTTCCACTCTTTCTTTGTACACCATTCTGGGACTGTAGCCATGAATCAGCAGATCACATGAGTCTGTGTAAATGTACTGGAGAAGGTACATAAACAAGTCTGGATGAAGTTTCTCCATCACAAAGAAATCACAACCAACTTCGTCTTTATCTTTACGATAAAGGTCAGCAGAATCTAACCAATTTGAGTCCGATACAAAGAGTTTCCGGAAAAAATCAGAGCGCATTGCCAACATGTATTTGTGCACAGGAAATGTCCGAGTGTCAACCTGGAAAGTAACATCATGGATGGTGTCCATAATTTCAGCTTCTCTCAACAACTTTCCAAAATCTTCAGTAATGGCGGATCTTGACACATTGGGAATTTCATACAAACTGGAAGAAAAACGCATGCAAGCATTAATTTTTCCAAGAAATCCAGCTTTTAATATATTCTGTAAAAATCTTCATGTTTAACGGAAAGAGAAAGCAACAATTTTAAAAATAGGAATTTTTACCTGCTGATGAACATGAAACAAAAACACAATGAAGGAATACAATCTTGCCCTGGACATATACAGTAAGCGCCTTTTAGATATGGACAAATATATCCTATCTTTTTAAAGAGTGAATGCGGGAAGCTCTTAGCTGCTGAATGTTAAGTGTCTTGAATAAAGAGCATTTATTCATATCTATGTTTTAACAATTAAAAAAAACATTTTCCCGTTCTGAAGATTTAATATGCTATTAATTCTTATTGTGTTTCAACCCATATTTTGCTTGGTTTTTAAAATATAGCCCAATATTGTTTTCTTTGCTGACAGCAAAGCTGGTTTAATCACCCTCTTCTTAGTCAGGTAAGAGCACAAACTTGAATGCTAAATATTAATGAGGTAACAGCTTGACTAATTTGCATTAAGGCATGAATTATCAGCAGGGTGAATTTTCGGTTCAGTAGCACTATTCCCTCCAGAAGTTGCAAAGGGAAACTTGCAATAGGTACTCAAACCTTGTTTTGGGATCTGACTGTAAAACAGCAAAATTACATCCATTAGGATCTGTTGTAATACTGACTGCTCTGTGCACAAAAGCAAGTTTCTCAAGTTGTATTCGTTCATATGCATTATTTGCATCATAGGATGAGATATCACTTGAAGAATTCTGAAGATTTGACACAATATCTGTAAAATAAAAATAATTAATTAGGTGATCAGCAGAGGAAGATAAATATTTTTATCTGAATAATTTTACTGAGTCCACCCATGCTAAAAGTTTATGGATTCAACTTTCCATTAAGAATCATTTCCAGTTTGCGTTCTACATTGTTCTTGTAATCAGGACCAAAACCACAAGGTGACTTGGCTTGCTGTCAGTTTCCCCTCTGGGCTTCTAAATTTTCACCCACAATTTAGCAAAGTGAGGATTTTCTAAAACTTTGCAAGGAACTTAAGAGTAAGATAATGTATAAGATAAGATAACTTAAGAGTAAGATAACTTAAGAGTAAAAATAATGATTTTTTTTTTCTTTAAGGGTTCTTAGTTCTGAAGGCTACACCCTTTTACCCCAAAGACACTGTCACCACAGTGATTCTTCATGATGTTGGATTTTATTTACATATTTATTTATTCAAGCAAGATACATTTATTTAGGTATTAAGCACTTGTTAAGTTTAAGCACAAGACAAGCAAGCTCCATCTTAGGGCTTCTCTAAGGTCTGCAGCTCACACAGGTTACTTGTTCAGACATAGTGTGCACCTTCCCTCTAACCAGAGTGCAAACATCTTCAGTCCACATTTGTGAACGAGGCAAGGTTCTTGCTTATCTGCACTACAAAATGTCTCTTCAGAATTCTTCAAGTGATATCTCATCTTATGACGCAAACACCGAACACAGCTTGAGGAACTTGCTTTTCGTGCACGGAGCAGTCGGTATCCCAACAGAACCTAATGGATGTAATTTTGTTCTTTTAGATCCCCATCCCTCTCTCTGAGCAAGAGAACGGAGACATTTTTCAATGTTTTAAATTTTAACTTTCAATCTTGCAGCAGAACTGGATGAGGAAATGGAGAAGATTGGCCACTATGCCTGAGGGGGGGGGGGGGAACCAGCACAGTTCTCAGCCCTAATGGAAGCTGAAATCTGAAAGAAGCTGGAAAAAGCAGGAAAATCAGAGCAGAGCATTTTGCTTCAGGAATCTATTTTTCCTCGAAGGAAAAGATAAACAAGTAGAGCAAGAAAATTTCATTAGAAAGTTGATATTTATTTGTCTACCTGATACTAGTTAAGCCTTGCCGTCTCTTGTGCTTTTATTTTCTGTGGAAGTAGGATGCGTATCTCATTATTCCTAACACAGGCTACATCCAACATTTGGGATGAGGGTTCTTTATTAACTTCTTAGGAACTAAAAGATACCCTAACAAGCAGTCTCTATTTTAATCACACTAATTGTAGCAAACCACTGCCATCCTGTGGTAAGTCTAGAATACTGCATAAAGCCTGCACCACCGTAGCCTCATATGAGATACCACTGAAAATAAATGGGGGGAAAAGAAACTTTCAAGTTTAACACACTGAATTTTTTTTAAAGGTTTTTCTAATATAAATAATCTTATTGAAAGATTTATTTTCCTTGAATTATTAGGTTTCACTGGATTTTTTTTTGCCAACCCCCTTAAAATTTTATTATTTTTTACATTTTTAAAAAATAAACCCTCATGACTTCAAAGAAACTATCCTTAATTTGGCAAGAATAAATCAAATAATTTCTAAGATGAGTATTTTACCAGATGAAAAAAATGATGAATCTAATCTTCATCTACTATACTTTGGAAGATAAAATTTATCACTCAGACGTTATAAATGCAGCTGATTTTTCAAAACTTTAACATCAAACTCAGTATAATGCACAATTTCATCTTTTATCAAATCCAAGGCAGGCTTCGCTTAATGACTGCTTGCTTTCAGGCGCTTGGAACTGGCTAGCAGTTGACTGACTGCATTGTCCCATAGTCACAATTGTGATTTACTATATTGTTTGCTGTTTTCTTGCAAAAAACACCCATTGCATATGTTGGTTTCACTTAACAATCATGTGGCTCACTTAATGACCACCCCAACTTACAACCAAAATTCCAGGTCTAATTTTGGTTGTAAATCAAGGACTACCTGTATAATGCCTGGCTAAATAGAAAGAATCCAGTATATCTGGTTTAGGTAGTTGGGGTGGTTAGAGCAGTGGTTCTCAACCTGTGGGTCGGGACCCCATTTGGGGTCGAATGACCATTTCACAGGGGTCGCCAAACCACGCTGTCTACCATTTTTTTCCCTTTTCCCTAGCTGTCCTACTCCCTCTTATTGGTGGCCACACCCATTTGGGGGTCACCACAACATGGGAAACTGTATTATGGGGTCACGGCATTAGAAAGGTTGAGAACCACTGGGTTAGAGTATTGAATAAATATGCTGCATTTGGTTTTCTTTTTTTTGTACATACAAGACACATTAACTGGAAGCAAACAGCGAAAGAAAGGAAGGAAGGAAGGAAGGAAGGAAGGAAGGAAGGAAGGAAGGAAGGAAGGAGGGAGGGAGGGAGGGAGGGAGGGAAGGGAGGGAGGGAGGGAGGGAGGGAGGGAGGAAGGAAGGAAGGAAGGAAGGAAGGAAGGAAGAAAGAAAGAAAGAAAGAAAGAAAGAAAGAAAGAAAGAAAGAAAGAAAGAAAGAAAGAAAGAAAGCTTTTTCAAGCATACAGCATTACAAGCCCTAACATTTCAACAGCAAATTTTCTGGAGCAACAAAGAAAAGAATTAGCAAGTGAAACTTATCAGAAAAAAATTGTGCAGTGCTCATTCATAAAATAACATTTGTTGGAAGTATACTGCTGAAGTAACCTATAGCTAATTAAAGAAAATACTTATAGTTAATTATAGTTTAGTTTTCTTACTATATAATTTTCTTTATTTGACATACATTAGAAAACTGCAATTTCAGTAGACCCTTGCACAAATTTCAGTATAATAGCCCAGCATCTGCCTTACTTTATACATACTAAACAACTATACACACCAACATTTTACACTGGCTATGCATCCAATCCCATAAGTTTGCAGTTGCAGACCAAAATGTCATATATGAAATAGTATGAATGTAATTCTTAATTTACAATAAAAGTGGCAATAAATGCATGGAATGGGCAAGGCAATTAGGCAGATAATTACTTTCTGTAATTATTCTGTAGTATCTATGAGTTTCGGAATCAGAGATACATGTATATATTAGAGTGCATATCGTGTTTCTTAAAACTATCTCAAAATATTTAGAACCAACCTAAGTATGCTTGGTTAAAAAAAAAATCAATCATCTGTACCTTACTTGTAGTTTAGAAGATATGTTGGTTTATGTGATCATGTCAATTGAAGTTTTAGGATTAATGGAAGTTTTTTTTTTTTTATAACTTTGTGTGGTACTCAGGATTGTTATCCCAATATGGGCAGCTGTATAAGCATTTTAAAAAATACATATTGGTAAAGTAATGTCAATTTAACAAGCACATAGTCCATCAGTTCTTATGACCACAATTGAGCCCAAAATTTATGTTGCTAAGTGAGAAATTTGTTAAGTGATTTTTGCCCCATTTTATGACTTTTCTTGCCACTGTTAGTAAGTGAATCACTGCAGTTGTTAAATTAGCGACATGGCTATTAAGTGAATCTGGTTTCCCCACTGACTTTGCTTGTCAGGTTGCAAAAGGGGATCGCGTGACCTTGGGACGCTGCAACCGTCATGAATCACGTGTCAAGCATTCAAATGTAAATCATGTGACCATGGGAATACTCCAATGGTCATGAGTGTGGAAAAAATGGTCATAAGTCATTTTTTTCAGTGCCGTTGTAAATGGGAACAGTCATTAAGGGAACTGTTGTTAAGTTGAGGATTACCTGTATACATCCATACTATTTCAATACACTAGATGGCACTAACTGGTCAGATAACTTTTGCTGTGCTGTGTAATACTGTCTCGACGGTCAGCGGTCCCACTTACCTCAGTAAAACTGCCATTGCGATTTGTACTTTTTAAAATTTTGTGTCTGTACACATGAAGTTAAGAAATAACTTTTGAGTGAAATTAAATGTTATCTTTTCACTGAGGGAACTGCTTCTGTTAGGTAAACCTAAGACTGCAATTTGCCACTTTCACTGCAACTTTCTCATGTGCCCCCCAAAATATTCTCATTTCATATCCAGGATGTTCATGTTGATGCATATCCAAAAATGATTAAACTTAAGGCTTCAGTTTTGTCAAAAGTAACGCATTGGAGTTTAACTGACCTTTCTTTTCTGAAGGTCTGTTCCCATCCATCCATTTTCCCTTAAAAGCTTCACCATCCCGTGTGACAAACATAATTTCATTCTTATTTAGAAAAATATCAGACATATACACTTGGCGGCCATAGATCCACCGGCACTGCTTCATTGAACTGTTGGCAGATTTCCAGCACAACACCTAAACATAACATTAAAAAGGGGGAAAGAAAGAATTGTACTCGCTCAAAATTGGAAAGCTACGGCTATACCTAGTGAGGAAATCTTAATTCATAAAATTATGCACTGCGCAGAATTAGATAGGTTAACTAAGAGACTCAAAAATCAGGATGAAACGGACTTTTATCAAATTTGGAATAAATTTTATAGATGGTGGGGGGAAAAATATGGAAGTCATTGTAATGAGATAAATTAAGATTGAGATTAGAGTGATGTTATTGTAAAGGTTTTTTTTCTTATATTAGTAGTTAATTGTGAATATGAACTGTGATGTATGTCAAATCTGATTTACCATGTTCAATGTTTTTAATGTTTGTTATTCAATAAAAAATATTTTTTAAAAAGGGGGGGAAAGAAACATAGATCTACATCAGTGGCACTATCTTCATTCTACATTATTTTGTGTGCTGAGAAAAGTGCTGCTTTCTGCACTTATTATTTTCTGCACTGAGGAGTCAGCAGAGCCTATCTTGCTTCAGAAATCCGTCTATGATTCTATTGATGCAACTAGATATAATCGTAAACCTATTCAAAGAGGGGGAAAGGGGGGAAAAAGAATACAATAAGTATACATATTGGATGCTATCCAGGTGCAGCAATGGAGTGCGGAGAGGAAGAGAAACAACTTACTCTTCCAGCTTGATCCAGTGCAAGAATATAAATCCTCAGCCCTCCATTTTCTTTAAGATGTTGAGGATTCACTCTGTAATCCAAATGCCCTCCGCTTACAAGAACCTTTTTTAGGTTTAGTTGCCTACACAAGGACACAAAAATATTTACGCCGACATAAACAAAAATAACAATAGAAAAAGAAATCTCACTTTGCAATTTAAAACGTGAACTTTTAAATGAAAGAACTGCAGTGTTGATATACACAGCCCAATGAGTAAACCAAGAAAACATCATACAGCAACCTTTCTCACTCCTATAAGAATATCACATCTGTACCATTATAAGCCAATGTGACATTTTGTCCTATTTTGTAGGCTAACAATTTACACTGTATCTGCCACATAACTCAATGTCTTTAAAAAAATATTGTGCATCAATAAAAACAACACAAACTATTGATTGTAAGATATTATTTGAAAGAATCACTGAAATACAACAGAAAAATAGGAGAGCAACATTCAAAATTTCCTTACAACTCACAGCAAGAGTTAGAAAGTGCATTGGCTTAAATCCTATCCTTGGAGACAACTGGAGAGTTAAAATAGTTAAAATCTAGATAAGGCCATTCTGGGTTAAAATATCAGCGCAAACACAATAAATTATTTTAATAAACCATAATCCTTTCAGCTTTCTTTATACTCAATAAATCAAATTGACTCATTATACGAGTTGTATGAATTAAAATTGTAAGGATTAATGACAAGAGTGCATGCATAGTTGCTTGGGCACCTAAAGAGAGAAAGCATTATTTTGAAGAAAGCATTACAGTTGCAGATTCAAGTAAGCTGGAAAGAATTTGATGATAATGATTCAAATGATAGTCACAATCTAGATAATCAAAATTTGAGAAATCCAAAAATCCATATACTGTAGTATCCAGTTGTAATTTAAAAAGTGGATCATAAATTTGTATTTAAACATTTACAGAATTTCCAATTTTATTTTTACAGTAACTTAAGCTGAACAAAATATAATTTACATTATCTACACTATCAGCATTTGGAGTGACACATTGGCAGCTGTACTCCAAAAAACTAGGCTTAGAAAAAAAACTATTTTTTACATTGAAGTTTCACTAAAATTAAATACTGTTACATGCAGTTGACAATGCGAGTTTACATTTCCTACAAAAAATTGGTGCGGCATATTCTCCAAGCAGGATTGATCTTATTGGATTTAGTGGTATACTAGCTGACTGACTGACTGACTGACTGATGGACTAATGAAAGGAAAAAATGAATATACACATATACATTCCATTTGATTGCCTGCACAACACAGACTTCTCTGCAAACAATGCTGCATACTAACTTTCAAATAAATCTCAGTAAGCCCAACATCATTTTGTCACAGCTACTGTCACAAGCCAAATAAGGAGAATTTCATGTGTAGTGTCAGTAAATAAAAGGTAAGTAATTGGAGACTGTGGTCTCTAGAAAAATGCATCAGGCTGCTTGCCTTCAATGGGCAACTCTACCCACAGCTGTCACATGTCTATCTAAAACCAATTCAACTTTTGGCCATACATTATTACCCGACCTCTGCAACGGAATTTTGAAACTAAAAGCAGCAGAATGATTTACGATTTATATCTGATTTACATTTTAACTCTAGGTGTATCATCATTCTCTTTTAGTGGGCAAAATTTCATTATTATTACAATATTAATTTGTTGCACTTTAAAAACTATAATGGAATGTCATAAATGACTCCAATTTAATTGCTTTAACAGACTAACACAGGTACTGTTCAGAAAATGTTAAGCTTTTTTTCCCCCACTGAAATCCTTTCTCTGGAAAAAATGTACAAAAGTTGGATTTTTTAAAGGATTTCTATGTTTACAAAGTAGATTTGCTTTACCTTGTCTTGTGTTCTTGCAGTGCTATATTTTTTTAAAAAAAGATTGCATCCAGGCCAGTTTTACATGCAGAAGCCCATTTCACACAACTAACACAACAGTCTAGACAAAGACTTGTACAACTATAACAATGGAGCAAGCAATATTTGCCCTTCCACATGCAACCTTCTGCATCACAACTCAAATAGCCTAGAATTAGATGTCAGCAATATTGGTATGCTCAAAACACAAGATTTTGCAAAACAAAAACAAAAAACCACATAGCCTTTCAATCTGTTGACAATAGTTAAAAAAATTCAGAAAGAGAATTTTATAGATTTCTCTGGAAAAAAAAAACCACTCACTTGGAAGCAATCTTCTTGCACTGATAGTCACTAAGCAAATAGATGTCTCCTTTTTCAGTAACACAAACTGTGGCACCATCACTTGCAGTGACAAAGGACATATTGATGTCCTTATGATGTAGAGCAGAGACTTGGCGAGGAGAAGTTACACACTTCTCTCCATTAGGATCTAGCAAGTATCCTACAATGTAAGAGAATACTCTAAATGTCAAGTTTTTCAGAACTAGAATTATTTGGCATTTAAGCACAATTCTTTTCTTATTAAGAAAGGCAGAAATAAGTGTTTCCATTCACCCACTTGCACTTGCCTGGAGGATCAAAAAATAATTTTAAACATATGCCAACATATGAAGCAGCCTTATACTGATTTAATCTACTGTCCCACCACACTCGGCACTTTTTTTTTTTCTGATCAGTAACAATGTTCCAGGATCTTCTTGCCAAAGAACAGATCTTTTGTAAATGAACACCACATTAAAAGAGAACACTGGAAACGTTTACGGATTACCGCATGGAAAAGAAGGTCACAAAATCTGTTTATTAAATGAAAAATTGCACAACACTCTGCTTAGCATATCACTAAAAGCCAACCTTATAGGGAGGATCCAACTGTATGAAAACATTTTACAAACAAAACTTGACTCCTAATACGGTTATTGTGTATATCTTTACTTGAAGCACATTTATTTGGAAGGGACTTAAAGCTGCATGGTTTCATACAGATTCATAACGCAACCTTTTACCAGTCTAAATCCATTGTTAAACCTACAGATTAAACTCACATACCCTTTCAAGGACCCTGGTAAGTTTTTCTAAAAATTGTACCTATGTTCTCTTATGTAGCTCCTAAACTGATAAATGTTCAAGTTCAGTTTCATTTAATTACACAATTCCGTGTTTTCAACATTAAAGGCATCTACATTCTGGGTATTAAGCTTGGAATTTGTTAGAAGAATCCTTCCTTTTGTGAGGGTGGGCAGGAACATTCATTGCATAGGCAAGATAGAAAATAACAAAAATCAAATAACTAAGAGAAAAACTACAAATGAAAAATCAACAACGTCCCAAGCCTTGCCCATTAACAGCACTACTTTAAATGCATTTCAACATTGGCATCTCATTAGTGTACAGCAAACAGATTCTAAAGCAGTGTTTCTCAACCTTGACAATTTTAAGGCCTGTGGACTTCAACTCCCAGAATTCCACAGCCAGCAATGCTGGCTGTGGAATTCTGGGAGTTGAAGTCCACAGGCCTTAAAATTGTCAAGGTTGAGAAACACTGTAGAATATAGCAAAATTTAAGAGATTTCCCCACAAACATCAAGTGGTTTTTATTCCCTCTCACCTAATTGTCCACCATTCAGTCCCATTGTATAGACTGCTTCTTTGGTCCATAATACTGAATGGAATCTCCCTGCAGCCACACCAATCACTGTCCTTCCCTTAAGATTTTTTGCTTGCACCTGTTTAAAAAAGCCCACAGACAGACATACAGGTGTCACAATCAAATCTGCTTAGCCATGAATCTAAAGAACAGGAAAGCAATAGAGTTCAACAAAGACATTTAGTTCATACATGACAAAATAAGAACACGTATTATTAAATCAGCCACTGACAGAAGGGATGATGAACACTGCCATAGTGACAGCACAACTCTGGAATTCCCTTCTCAGGGAAAATTGCCAAGCAATCTCTTTTTAGTTTTAGATGTCAGAGAGAAACATTTCTCATCCAGCAGGCTTGGACATCTTTCAATGATCTCAAAGAACTCTTAATTGTTAAGAGAGCTTTTCAAGTGCCTGCAATATTCCCTTGGATTGCTACATTTTATTACTGTCATCTGTTTGGCTTATGTTTAGGTTAAAAGCACCAAGAACGATGTTAATCACAATAAAATGCTTGTTTGATAGAGTTCTCCAAAGCACTCAAAACCGAGACTCAGGACAGCAAAGCCTTCAAAGCAGCTTTCCTGGGCTCTCTTTGTGTATTTGCATGCATGCTGTCACTTCATTTTCCTGTCAGAGCCAGTAGAAGTGCCGTTTGTGCATGCACACAGATGCAAAAGCAATCAGGGAAAACTTTAAAGTTAGCCATATCAAGCCTAGCCTTCTGGATGATGATTTACCGTATATGCCGCCGTATTAGGCGACCCGGCGTGTATGCCGGCATATTAGGCGACTCGGCGTATAAGACGACCCCCGTCTTTATAGCCGGGCCGCATTCCTAGAACGTCGTCTTATACGCCGGAAACTACCAGTATTTCCGGCGTATAAGACGACTCGGCGTATAAGACGACACCCGTCTTTGGCGCCGATTTCAGCGCTCGCGGAAGTTGTCTTATACGCCGGCATTTACGGTAAATTTTTTGATTTAATATTACATGTTTATTCTTCCTTTATTTTTTATTAATTAAAGGCAGTTTACATTACCTAATACATACCTGAGCCTTGGTGGTGCAGTGATTAGAATACAGTATTGCAGGTTAATTCTGCTGACTGCCGATTGCCAGCAGTTTGGCAGTTCGAATCTCACCAGGCTCAAGGTTCACTCAGCCTTCCATCTTTCCAAGGCCAGTAAAAGGAGGACCCAGATTGTTGGGGGCAATAGGTTGACTCCGTAAACTGCTTGGAGAGGGCTGTAAAGCCCTTTGAAGTGGTATATAAGTCTTATTGCTATGGCTAATGTTCCTTCTTCCTATATTCCCTACAGTAACAATCCTGAGAGTGACTGACCCAAAGTTACTCAGATGGTTTACAGGTCTAAAGGAGGACTAATATTCAACCTTCTGCTATCTAACTCGGCACCTTAACCACAATCCCAGCTACATGATCACCATTTATGATCTTCACAGCCAGCTTCCGACAAGCGATGTCAATGGGAAAGCCAGCAGGAAGTGTAAAGCTGCAAACCCCAGTCAGCGTAACATCACACTTAAATGACTGCAATGACAATTGCTATCGTTTAAGTCGGGTATAAGCATGTGACTTTTCATTTTACAACCTTGTTGCTTAGCAATGGAGTTGCCAGTCCAATGGTGGATGGTAAATGAGGACTACTGTATCGTCTGTCTTTGGGAAGTTGGCCTTTCAGATACGATTTCATAGATTAACGTCTAACTGCTGCATTTCATTCTAATTTGTTGTATGTTAAATTTTAATTCCGGATTTTATATACTTATATTGTGAAAGAACAGTTCAATAATCCTTTTACAAACAGGCTTTGTGAACTGCCTAGAATTTTTGTAATGGAGCAGAACATAAATACTGTAAAATAAATATCACACAATACTACTACTTGCACTACATCTGATATACGAATGTGCATATATGTGCTTTTGAATTGTAAGGATTGAGATGGGCAGCTATACAAATTGAGATGGATGGATGGATGGATGGATGGATGGATGGATGGATGGATGGATGATAGAGTATGTTCAGGCTAAAAAGGTGAGCACACTTCATGCATGAACATACAAATGTATAGGCACATATAAAGCACCTTCTTAGTAAGGAGGTTAATTTTACCTGTCTGGGAACACTGCAGTTAGGAAGAGGAGGATGTATACCAAGTTGATGAAAAGTATTGATGCCAAAGGCATAGAGGCACCCATCTTCTGTTAGTACAAGCGTATGATCTTTAGCTGCTGCCACTTGAGAACACTGATGAGCCACCAAGCTTTCTACCAGTCTAGGAATCTAAGACAGATGAAGAAAACGTCACCTTCAATGTTTCAAGCCACATCTGTCTCTTATTAGAAGGTTCATTATCAAGACCTCAAGCAAAATCACCTTCAAAGGGATTATTTTATGCGTTTCTACTCATCCTTTGTCTTCTAAGACACCTAGTAATAATACTGTTATTATGATACAAGTTTTTTGTGGAGAAAAGAAAGCTCTCTTAACGTACTACAAAGCTCTGTTGCTTTTCCTGCAATAATATAACCCTGGAGACTGACTAAATAAAAGTCCCAATAGTGTTTTCATTATATCCCAATAAATTTGTTAATTTTAAAGTATAAAATTCTGTTTTGCTGAAAGGTTCTTGTCCATGACTACCTCTCAAAACATTATCCAAGATTATTCTTTAATTTATGTTCACTACCAGGTAGTTTGAGAACTCGTTAATAATGAAAGCAACACATTATTTACGGAATCAACTACCAACACAACCTTTAACTACAGATCAAAATAGTTCAATATGGCCTCTCCATTAAAATTAGAATTACAGCATCCCCTAATTTCAAGAAGTATATATGTTAAAAATATGCATGTATATATATATTTGCTTGTATGCTGTATGTCTGTGTAACATAAACAGTTCAAAGCATAAGAATGGTATTTTAATATTATAAGACTACCTTATACCCTCCAACTACACTGGACTATTTCCATCATCATTTCCATTATTCCATTATGGAATAAAAGTTAATATCTGATGCCTCTCAAGCTGTGGATAATGGGGGAGTAATATCTGTATACATGTACTGTATACATGACATACTGGCTATGCAATCAGAATTATAGTATTTGTATTTAAAGCAGACTATATTAAACAAACATGTTTTTCAATATCTGCAACACTTTAAAAAGAGCCATTTTTAAAAAAGAAATCAGGTCCTACTATGGATATAGCTTAGTGGATCTGAGAATCAATTATTTTTTTCATAATCTAAAGTATTAGTTTTAAAATACCAAGCAAGTCTGTTCGTCACCATGCCCCAAGCGACCTCCTTGACCATGCCCACAGGTGTAAACCTGTCCTTTCTGGGAAAGGAACACAGAATGAAATTTGCAGAGTACCACCTAAGGAAAGAGAGATTTTTTTAAAAAAAAAAAGTAAGAACTTGGACTTCATCTAGCTAACTTTTTCAAAGTAAGTTGATATTTAAATCATTTACTTTGTAATAATACGGAAAAAAATCATGCCTCAATTTGATTTTCAATATATACTAAACACATTTAAATAAACTGCACATTTACATTTATAATACTGGATGCCTACACAAAGAACCACTTACTATTTTGACTGTATTGCAGGAAAAAGTATCACAAGAAAAGCATATACTTTGAAAGCAATTGTCTTGTTTCTAATATTTTTAAATGAGTTTTAAAAACAACAAAAAATATCAAGATAAAGCATAACTTTATGCATGATTTTATGCATATAGGTCATTTCCTACATATCCACCAAAGGAAAGGTGGGCTGTACCCTTTTCTGGCTATATTCCATGCCAAACCTGGCTCCTACAGATAACCAAGGAGATATGGAACATTGGGAGTGATAAGGGATGAGATGCCAACTCCTTCCTGGAGATATGTGCTCTCTTGAAGAAGCCCTCTCTCAGTTGAAGCATGCTGAACAACTACTGCCTAGTCTCCATCTTTCTCTTTGAAAAGAAGGTTGTGAAAAGAGTAGGGAAGACCACAGAGGAAAGAGTGACATCAAGGTACTAAAAATTATTTTTAGCTAAGGATTTTAGGATAGCACTGGATCAGAAACTAAAATATTTATGAAATCAGAAAGAAAACTGCTTTAGCCACAGAGGTATAATAAGGAACATGGGCCAAAAGAATATCACAGCTCTTTTCAAATATACCTGTTAAGAAGAAAGGGAGCTGCTACATTAAGAACTCCTTCCAACCTCTATGGTCAGTCAAGTGTTAACCATGGCCACCACCCTAATTTCCCACCTTGCAATACTTTCCACAATGCCTACCTGTTTAATATAAATCCCATTTCGAGGAAAGAGATCCACCAACTCAGGATGATGTCTATTCTGCTGACCACCATGGCCTAAAGTAAAATTGATATTGATTCCCCAAGTGTAGACATCTGTGGGATCTAAAGTAAAATGGTAAGTTCTTAACTGCAGTATATCATTTGATGTATAGATGAAATGCATTTATTTTTTTTTGTCTGCTTATGAATGCTTTTCACGTATTTCCAAAATAAAATTTAAGAATATTAATCTGTATTACTCTATTATTATAACAAAATTATATACCCAATAATTTGCATAATCAAAATACCATCTTAAAAAACATATTCAGTATGCAACCAGACATAATAATTCTGAGCTGAATCAGACATTATTCATAACAGCAAGTGTTGTATTTTCAATTTTTATATTATACTAGGTGACAACCCATGCTCTGTTGGGTCATCACTTCAGGGACATTTCCTTGCCTGAACAGAGAAACTCAATGACCAAGGGCAGGCAAAAAAAATCAGTGGGAGCAAGAGCAGACTACCTGCCTGCTTCCCCATTGAGTTTCTTTGTGGGAATCTAATAGGGAGGGTAAGAGATCTCCCTTACTTCCTCCTTCCCACTTCCCTTCTCTTTCCAACAGGCAGGTAAGTGACTGCTGGAGGGGAGGGAGCAAGGGATTGCAAGATTGGCTGGGAAACTGTCACGGAACACTGAAAATGAAGATCACATGGCCACTACAACAGTACAACAGCAGCCAGTAGCAATGAAGCAGGCCCAACTTTTCTTCCCTCAGGAATCATATATATATCCAGATTCTGGATATATTCTGTAAGCCCATTTGAGTACCTTGGTTCAAAAAATATTGCTTATGATGTACCACTTTGCTTGGTTAAAGGACATGACAAGAGTTTTAATAAATTATATATACAAGTACATTTTACCTTACAAGTATATTTTGTAAAATATGTTCCTAAAGGCATATTTTGTACTATAGTTGATACTAAAGCTGATACTTACTTTTTTATTACAAAACAGAACTTTAAAAAACTGTGTTTTGGAAGAAAGGGCAATTTATTTAAAAATAACATACTTTACAAAAAAAATAAGTTGAAATACAAGTTCAGAAGAACGAATCAGTACTTACCTGATGTATGTAAAAGGGTAGTAAAAGTAGTAGTTGTTATTAGATAAAGTCTATGGATTACTCCATTTTTTAAAGAAAAGAATGTAATTTATGAATTTAAAAAGGTACAAAAATGCAGGTTCAATATGCTAAGGTAAATTAGCATAAGATGACTTTAAGAGAGTAGATTATAACCTCACCCTTTTTAATAGCAGCAGTAATATATACACATGATGGCCCAAAACAGATGATTTAACAATACCCTCAGGCTGAAATAGTCAATCACAGCTGCTTTAAGATAAAAGGAAGATTATCTTTGGGCTCAAGCAGAGAATGCATTAAAAATGGACAAGTTAAAGTACCTAAAAGTGCCCGCAGATTCTAAGAATTGCTTTTATATCAAGGAAGATATTCAATATCTAATGGATTATTATATCCAAGAGATATTTTTAATAATTTTTAATATACTCACTGACTATATTCCCACCATCCAGAAAACAATTGTGGGTATGCTTAAGTGCATAACAAGTCTCAGTATAATGACCAACCTGTATTCTTGAAGGTAACGAAGGCTGGCCTATCTTTCATAACTAGATCCAAAGCAGACAAGCCTTCTTTATCCTGAGCATACAAGTTCACACCATGCTGAAAGCAAGGGAGAAACAAATGAAAAAAAATGAGACACTGCACTAAAAATGAGACACAAAGAGAATAATACCCCAAGCTGTGATGTCAGGCTAAACATTCCCCAACCTTGTTAAATGCAAAAAATAATTTTTGACCAACTATACTACTACTACTTTCTTCATTTTTGCATTCACACATTGTCTTTCATATTCTTTCACTTTCTCTGGCAAGTTAAATTCAATTACTGCACCCATAAAATAGGGATATTTAATAAAGCAGCTACCAAATGCTGTCTACATAACACAATGTAGAAGTACTTTCTAGTTTGAAGCCATTTTAATAGACAAAAGAGGCAAATCTGAATGTGTTATTATCTCATATATTTCTCTACTTGATTGAGAAATAAATTTCTTTCCAATTATTTTTAATTCGTCAACATTTGTGGGTGGGTAGCCTTTTTGCTTAAATAGTTTGTCAAAAGACTAATCTAGTTAGATTTTATTTAGCACTTCAGCAAACAGGTAAAAGCTAGGTGTAAATAAAAGAAATATTAACCAGGACCTGTTTATACAAAAATTTCTTTTGCCCACTATTTGATTTCAGGTTTGGCAGATTCGTAATGTTAATAAAAGCTGTGAAATACCTTTAGTAATGACCATGCACAATCTATATGACCATAGAAAATGCCACGATGCAAAGCTGTCCATCCCGACTCCTTGTCTTTTGCCAACAAATCCACTCCGTTTGTTTCTGCCAGCCAGTCTAGCACTCCTTTTTTACCACAGGAGGAGGCAATATGGAGGGCATTCCTGCCAAACATATCCTTGCTTGTTGCGGCATTATAGCAGTGAGAAGTGAGGAAGGCTTTGATTTGACCTTCACTTCCCTGGGTCACTGCGGAAACAATATCTAAAGCATGCTGTAATGAACGACACTTTGAGGTACAATCAGGCACCAGAGAACTCATCTTTTCCCCACTGAACTGTTCATTTACGCAAGACAAGGCCCTGCAAATTCTCCCTTTGTTCTTTCTTCACAAGAAGTTCATGATTTCCACCTTTCGGGCAGCTTCCGTGGGAATCTTTGTGCTATTAAGACTTGATACTTAAAAAAATAAATAACTTTACCAATATAAATTCAGAATTCATTTCCTCAGTTTTAATCTATAAAATATATTATTACTGTCCAGAAAAAATATAATTCCAAAAAGCAACAAATGGAGGGGGGAGGGCTCCCCCTCCACTCGGTCTAGTTCTTTCAGATAGCCATAATTGCAAGAGAGACCTGTAAGAAGAGTAGAAAAAGAAACAGATTAGATTATCTAACATAGTAGAATTGCAGTTTCTTTCTTCTTTCAGAAAAAAAAGCAACTTTTCCAAACCAAATATCCCTCCCCCGCCCCCCCACAGCATTCACCCACATTCTATCCAAAGCTTGGAGAAAGACCCAGATTTTGAGAGCTTGTTTAAGGGGGTGTGCGGGCAAAAATATGAAACTGATAGAACATTTTTCCAGGGGACAGGTGCTGTGACAGAGAAGGCCTACTTTATTTGTCCCATCAGGCGATACTGTTTAATAAGAGGACCTGAAGTAGGCCGACTTTACCTGATCACAGAGTATGGGCAGAAACACATGGCTCCTCAAATAATAAATTTGGCAGAAGGGAACTGCACCCAAGAGGATGGATACACGTGAATAAATGATCCTGACAATTACTGTCATGATGAGACTTCAGTACCTGGATGCAGCCTTAATTCCGAGAACAGCGTTAATAGTGGTATTGTAATACTCACTTGTTGAGATCCAATAAAGTAAATGTTATACATGATATGCATAGTGCTTAATCTCAGAGAATATATTTTCTTTTTTAATATGATTTCTTTTTAAATAGAAATTATGTCTCCTTTTAAGAGAATATTGATTTAAATTTTGTGTAAAATATATACTGTGTATATTTGCAGATAAACCCATCTGCGAATAAGCTGACTCTTAAAAGTTCTAATTAAAATATTATGAAAAATGTGGCACCTACAGATAACACAACCCTCAACATTTTCATATATTTTAATTTTCATAATTGACATCCACTATGGGTGCATTTTTTATAGTATTTTGATTAAAAATATGACGGTCTGCCTGTTTGCAGACGGGTTTATCCCCGAGTACATTCAAAATATGTGGGTACTTTTAAAAAGCATTACCATTTATATAAGAAGTTCTTGTTTAAGGATGGCAGTTAGTGTCATGCTTGGCTGATTGATAAATAAACTTAAAGTGACAGTTGTAGCTGTCTCAGATGCCACTGTTAGGCAAATCCCAATGGTCACAGCATCCTTGGGTCATGTGATCACCATCTGCACCTTCTGACAGCGTCCCCCTTGACTTTGCTTATTGATAGGTGGCAGCAAAAGTTGCAAATGGCGATCTATAACAGAATACTGCAGTCTAATAACTGCAAATCAAATCTCAATCACATGACCATGGAGATGCTGTGACACTGCAAGTATAAGGACCCATTATAAATCTCTCTCATGCAGCACATCATACCTCTGAAATGAATAAGTGATAGTTCCACAACTTGTATTTGCAGATAAACCCATCTACAGATAAGCCAAACTCCATTTTGGGGATGTATTTCAGTATTTAAACTTAACCATGAATACAGTATATTCAGTGTCTTTATGTTGATTTAAAAATAAATAAAATAATATGTTCAAACATCAGCTTTTTAACATATCATGAGGTAAATTTTATAAGCAAGAATCTCTTTTAAGGGGATAGGGCAGTGGTGGCGAACCTATGGCACGGGTGCTAGAGGTGACACTGGGAGCCCTCTCTGTGGGCACACGTGCCGTTGCCCCAGCCTCGCCTCCCCCCATGACCCTCTCCTCTCCAGCAGCCCCCTGAAGGAGTGTCGCGTGGGCCTGAGCATGGCCCACGCGGAGCAGCGCAGCCAAGGACATGGCAGCCAGGCAGCGTAGACAAGACTCTGCCCTCACACCCCATTGTGTACAGCTGATGCTGCAGGGCGCAGGCAGAAGGCTGGGCTGCCTGGGCAATCTGTGGCGGGCCCTGGAGGAGGTGAGTGGCCCTGTGGGCAGGCAGGGCAAGGGATGGAGGGGCGGGGCAGGGCAGGGCAGGGGGTGGAGCGAGGGCGGGGCCAGTTTTTGGGCACTCAATCTCTAAAAGGTTCGTCATCACTGGGATAGGGCCACAGGAATGGCAATATACTTAATTCTATCCATGCTGTAAGTACAACAATGTATTTATTCTAAAAAACATTACAGTACACTGTGACCCCCAAAGCATAATGTATTCTAACCTCATAGATTTCAGATATATGCCATTCAAAATATCAGCAACTATACTATACAATATAATATAAACAAATATCCAACTTCTCCTCTCTGGACATCAGATGCTTGCAAACAATAGAGAACAGAGAATGTCACAGAACAAAGAAACCTGCAACAAATCTCATGACTGATTTTTTAAAATGATTCAAGGAAAAAATCCCAAAGTAGCTTGCAACAATGCAAGTGCCTCTGTGTGTACCAGAAGCCTCTCAGAACACTGAATTAATTATTCAATAAACTAATTAGTGGTGCAATGGCTTATGTACTTTAAAACCTTATACAATTCTAGTCTATAATATCCTTGCAGCAGGTATTCCATAGCAACTCTTTTCTTCAAGACAGCTTATCCTCAGGATTTGAGGGAACAGGCTTGCCCAACTCAGATTAGAACTAGATGCCAACGCCACAAGTTACAACTTTCCAAATATGAACTTCACAACTCCTTTTAGAAAAGTGACATCAATCTCCGATTTCATAGCAGTGCAGAATGATTAAGTCATATATTTTATGAGGGGGGGGAACCAAATCACAATCAAGATTCTCTAAAGCTATGTGGTTAACTGTTAGCAGATGGGCAGATTTAAAAAATGTAGAAAAAAATGAAGCAATACATTTTTTATTTTAAAACTAATCAAAGCTTAGCTGCACATTGTATAGCTGAAGCAAGTAAACAGTTTTAGACATACTTACTTTAGATAAGAATGCAATTTGAAGCCTTCACAGCACAGTATTACTGGTCTCTAATTTCTCATTTTATTTTGCTACAGAACATTTAGATTCATTCACTTTTAAATCATTAAGATTTTATTGTAAATTCATTCTATTGGGAAATTTAACTGTTCTTTCCATTTTAAATAAGAAATATATATAGGGGTTTATTTTAAGGTTTAGCTAAGGAGACAAAGTAACTAATGAGAAAATATATTTAGGACTCCAAATAAATAAATGTTATACTAGTTTGCTCTGCTCTGAAACAACTAGTATTGTAAAAACATTAACTCAATTATGAAACTCAGTTAAGAGCATTTTGTAAGGGATAGTTATGACTCAGGAAAAAAAAACAAGGAGGAGCAAAGGACAAAATTCACAGTTAAGCAATCAAAATGTCACAAAACAATGAACAAACGTTGATATTTTCCTGAACTTTTATGAAAGGAGAGAAAATAAGAAAAAGCTCGCAAATTTCATCATCTGAGCATTTAATCACAGTAAAGTCAGCGCTAGAAGAGAAAAATAAGAAACTACTGTGTGAAACTTTTCTCTTCACAAATGCAGACAGGTAACCATGCTATTTACATGCCACTCTCATCAGTTCATCTCCATCTTTTTATTCAAAAAATGATACAGTGGTACAAAAGCTAAGTGTAGTGATGCTAGTGCTGGACTGGCATCAAAAAACCCAGGGCCAAGTGCATGTTCAACCACAAAAGTTTATGGATGACATTGGACCAGTCTCTCATTCTCAGTCCAATCTGTCTCACAGTGTTCTTGAATTAGCGCTAGGCTCACCACGGGTTTTTGAAAAATGAGATAAATGAATGTCTTTAATAAATAAAAAGACTATGGAACTCATTGGAAGTTTTTTTGGGTGGAATGACAGATCTCTTCAAGAGATTTTTTCCTCTAAAAATATATTGCATTTCTATTAATCCTCTTCCCATATATAAGTAATATTGCTTTAGTTATATGAGGTCTCAGACAACAACAGCCATTCAAGCTAGGCCAGATCAAGAAACAGATACTATAGGAATAGTAATTTACTGTTGTAGGGGATAACAAAATCTTGAAATCCAGTCCAAGCTTATCTCTGTCCCAGGTTATATTAAAGAAAATCAGTGTAGAGGTATTTTGAATTTCTTTCTCAAGCATCTTTCAATTTTTGGACTGGTTAGTTCTATGTAGCATTCTTGGACTCCTCCAAGAATCTCCTTAATAGCTTGATCCTTCTTTCCCCATTTAATAGCTCCTTCATAGTTTCCAAGGCCAATTCTACATCTCTTTACCTTCGTTTTGCTACTAACAGATGCCTGATGCTATTTCATAAATTTTACCAGGGTGTGAATACTAAGCATTAAGTACAGTTTGTTAACAATATTAATATTGGAGGAAAAAAATAAAAAGAGGCACTTCAGTCACTCAATCCATAACAAACATTTTTGTGGCTTGCAGCTGGAATTCATTTTAAAATTTTTGCCGAGAGCCAGCAAATTATAGCAAATTCATATATACTTCTCTACCAAAAGTTGGCATATTTGGCACAATACTGAAGGGGCTGTAACAAAGATAACCAAAGAAAAACCTAAAATATCTACCATGTTTGGAACATAATTCACTTAGCTTCCCAACCATAACACAGAATTTTATTCAGAAATAGTACACCACAACAAACAAAATGGTGAAGATGTCACAGAGAATCAAGAAACTATCAAGACCAGCATAAAAGAGACACAACACTAAACAACGAAGATGAGATGAGCTGTATCTGAATTAGATATGGATGGATGGATGGGCAGATATAGATACATACACACATATATACATACATTCTCTGGTATTTCTTGCTTCTCAGTATTTTACCATTTCTTGATTTCTAAAAGCATCCTGAGGATTAAGGGACATGAAAGCTAATACACCTGGGGATCACAAAGCTGAGGAAGGCTGATAAAGTGACCATTCTAAAGCTGAAATATCTCCCAGATGAGATCTTTCTCACAATGTAGGGTTTTCTCTATTCTATCAAGATAAACAAGTTGCTAATGCGTGGCAATCATCCTATGGTCAGGGTAAAAAGAGTCAGGAGTTCCTGACCTCAGCAACAGAAACATTCGAGAGTCAGGTAGTATTTAACATTGTCAGTAAGACAAACAATCATGCAAAAAGCTGCCCAGTATGCAACCCACAAAACAGTGCAATTTTACTTCAGGATCCGAATCAGGAGGAAGAGTACTACAGTACTACTCTTGGGCAACTGTAGAATACAAAAAAAAAAAAAAAAAGGAAAAACGGAGGGCACTTTTTTTTTTGCTACAAATCTTTAAATCAAATACATTACAGCAACCCTGTAATACCATTTTTTTTCATCCAGCCTAATCATCAGAAAGAAGAGGCAAGGGTTAACTCCCTTTCCTTTTATATCCCTAATCTTTCTCCAGACATTTTCACCGTTACACCGACGGCCGACTTCCCCTTTCCCTGCTATTTCTTCTACATCTCTTGGGATCAGCAACACACACACACAAACACACACAAGCTTTAATATCTCCGTGACGCGTAGAAATTTAATCCGGGCACCTCTTTCTTCTTGCCCATAATTGGAAACTCTGCACCTGTCGGATTTCTGCTTACAGTCGGTGTAAAAAAGCAGAAGCCCAGAAGGGGATGAAGGTCCGCTCGCCCGCCCCCTCTAGCCACACGGCTTCCCCTCCATTCCCCCCCCCCGCCCCAGCTGAGTTTTTTTTTTCCCTTTTCGGGACTGCCTCACCAGTCGCTAGTTGAAGGAGTTAGGACGGTCATAGGAGGACGCGCGCTGGAAGGCCGGGAAACTCATCCTCAATGGATCCGAAGGGCGCCGGGGCGAGTCAGGACGAGGCCGCGGAAAGAGAAGGCAGAGACGCTCCGAGAAGCCGCCACGGCTGCAACCCTCCAAATGCCACCGAGGGTGGCGAGATAGAGGCGGCGGAGACACGGGAGCAAAGGAGCGCAGGATTGGGCGGCGTGCTGAGTATTCCGAGTGCTTATTGGCTGGTGGGAGGCTAGCCTCCGGCTTCTGCCCAGAGCTGAAAGGGGCTGACGCGTAGAAGTGCGCTTCGGGCAGGAGACTAAGGATAAGGGCGGCAACTGAGGAGGAGCTAACAAAAGCGACTCACGCTTCCCTTGTTCTGCCTCAGTTGCAGCCGGGGTTGGTGTGATTTGAAGGTCCAGAACTCCCTTGTGTTTCCTCACTGAAATATGTTCCCTACCACCACAGCTTTTTTTTGACATATAACCCACCGGAACAGCGTTCCGGCAACCTTTCTTCCACCGATTTTCCAGAGTTGTATTCTTCTATTGCTGCCATTCCTATCACTTGCTTTTAAAAATACCCCGCCGGCGCTAAAGCGCGAGGAGGGTCTCCTCCGCCTTTCTGCCTCCTCTAGGAGGAGCCATGAGGCGCCGAAGCGCCACAGCCAGAGCGTGGCTTAATTGGCTGGGTCAGACCATGTGATGTGGAAGCTGTTGGTGGCGGTGGGAGAGAGAGCAGCATGGAGGACATCCTTCAGGAAAAGGTGAGTGAGCGTTTTGTTTTGCCTTACAGAAAGTGAGGTGTGAGGTTAAAAAGAGGGCGAAGCAAGAGGAAAGAAGGGTGGCTGGTGTGGAAGCTTGCCCGACAGCGAAACTTTGTTGTTTCGGTTCCTTGGGTAGTTCAAAGGCTGGGATGTCTACGAAAATCTCTTTTTAGTCTTTTATACTTTATATTCAAACTGCAGAGGGGAAGAATAAGAATAAAGCCAATGTCTTGTGATTTGAAGGTATTAATAATAATAATATATTTTCATTATGTATTGGTCAGATGTAAAGGTAGACCTACGTTAGCATGAGGTTTAATCAGATCTATTTATTAAATTGGGTTTAACTTAAAGGTAAATTAAAAGTGACCCGTTCACTGACAAAGTTTCAACTTTAATTTGTTTCAAGTCAATATCCATATTAAACTCCAAATGTAACTTTTTCCACCTTGTTTGACAACTTCTTAAAAATAATTCAATTTTTTACAAGCAACCAACTTTTGTTTTATTTGGGCCAATTTCATTCCACATAGAAAGCTGACATTTCCACTCATTAAACTAAATGGGTATGCCAGTGGTAAATGTCCCAAAAGAATAATAAAATGCTCTTGTAATTTAAAGCCACACAGTGCATGGTAACATTAATAGTATTAACTTACCTTGAACAAAATCCTAGTCTTTTAGATACACTAAAAATTGAAGGGGTTTTTTTTTCCGACTACAAAGATAAACCTTGTAGGGTAGGCAAGGCAGGTTATATGGCATGTGTGGGTGTGTGTACAGTGATTGACTATTGTTTACTGAAAGATAAATTATTTTTAAAAATCATTGGTGAATTGAAAATCTTTTTTTAATTTTTAGGGTAAAACTGCAAAAAAAATTTGAACTGCATATAACGTAGCAAAGGAAAATCAATCATTCCATCATTTTGAAACGGAAATTGATTTGCAAGAACTGAACAGAGTTGAAATGGGTTGTATTCTTCATTCTACAAATGCGTATATTAACATTGTTAATCATATAAGTGAAGAAATGAGGAAAACTGGTTAAAGAAATTGTTCAATCCAATAATAAAATTTCAAGGATAATTGAAGAATCAACCACAATAAGCAAAAATAACTACCCTCATAGTATATGTTCGATGCTGTATCGAAGGTGTTGGAATGAATTCACTGATAAATTTGTTTTTGGACTTGGTAGAACTTGAAAAAGAAATGGCAGAAGGAGTATTTGATTCCTTACTCCAATGCCTTCACTCGTATGGGATGACAGAAGATTATTTAAAAAAATATTTGGTTTCTCTGGCATGCGACGGCGCTACTGTGATGATAGGGTGTAAAAGTAGAGTGAAAAAAATTCTGTCAGAACATTTTCCTTCTATTATAGTTTGGCATTGTGCTAATCACAGACTAGAATTATCAGCAGGTGGTGCTATTGAGGAAACTTCAGGAATAAATAGATTCAAATCATTTATTGATAAACTTTATGTCATATACCATGCTTCGGCAAAGGATAGTAGAGAGTTGCATTTATCTGCAGAATTACTGGCGGCTGAGCTGCTGAAAATTGGAAGAATCCAATTTTGCATACAGCTTTGGCTGTGTGGAATAATTTTGAATCTCTTGTGTATCATTTTGAAGAAGCAATGCATGATCCTACAAGAGATAAAAATGATAAATGCACTTATGATAGCTTGAAAAGAAAAATCACATCTGTAGAATTTTTATTGGACCTAGGATTGATGTGTGACGCTTTCCAAGAATTATCAGAATTAAGTTTGGACCTACAAGACCGCAACATAAACCTGTTCAAGGCAAATGAGAAAATAAAAATAATGGTACAAATTTTTGAAGAAAGAAGACAGAACTTTGGGCCCTATTATAAATGCGCTGTTGCTGCTATACGTGATCTTTGCTTTCGTGGAGTTTTACTTCATGAAAAAGATTCAAGAAAGGATCCTCCCATTGACCCAAGTACATTCTATACAAAATTGAAAGAGTCAATCGAAAAAAGATTGCTTGATAGCAAAGACGATGAGTTGGCATATTGGTCTCGCATACTTGATCAAAAACATTGGCCTGAAGATGTAAATACTCCACTGACATTTGGAGAAGTGGAAATTAGAAACTTGTCAATCAGACTGCAACTAAATGAAAGAGAAATGATTCTGGATTCCATGAATACATTCTCGACAAGACATATCCAAAAAAACTGTTGCATTTGATACGGACTCTGAATACCATTCCCATTTCTTCAAGTGAATGTGAACGCGGGTTTTCACAGATGAATCTAATTGCCACCCCAACAAGAGCTTAGTTGAAGACTAAGACAATTTCAGCACTTTTGTTCATTAAACTTGTCAGACCACCTCTGAGACTTTTCGATCCTTCAAAGTATGTTGATCTGTGGTTACTCAGAGGACAACATTCGGCCATAGATACTAACAGCAACGAAAGGAGTCGAGAAGATTTGCCGGATGAGAATTGGACAAAAATTTGGAATTTACTATGAACATTTGCCTTAAATACAATAAATTAAATTTATGTTAAGAACTGAATATATATGTACAAGACAGGGATGTCCTTTATCCCCATTGTTATTTGTTTTAACAATGGAGATTTTACTTATTAAAATTCGGGAGTCACCTAGAATAAAGGGAATAAAAATAAATAAGAATGATTATAGGTTGAGAGCTTTTGTTGGTGATTTGGTTGTGACATTATCTCAACCGACAGACTCGGTTAGGGATTTGGTAAAAATTTTAACTCAGTATGGGAAGGTTTCTGGTGTTAAGGTAAATAATAATAAGACTAAAATATTATCGAAAAATATGTCTATGAAGGAAAAGGATGTTTTGACTAAATTAACAGGTTTTGAAATAGTGAGAAAGGTTAAATATTTGGGAGTATATATCACAGTTTCCAATGTTAAATTGTATAAAAATAATTATGAGATACTATCGGCAAAAGTACAAAAGGACTTAAATGATTGGAAAAAATTACAATTATTTTTGTTGGAGAGAATTTCTGCAGTTAAAATGAATATACTTCCAAAATTTCTTGAAGAAAGATGCTAATTTGGAGGAATGGCAGAAAGGGATTAATAAGTTTATTTAGGCAGGGAAAAAGCCAAGAGTTAAATTCAAGATTATACAAGATATATGGGAAAGAGGAAGGCTTAAAGCGCCTAATTTAAAATTGTTTTATGATGCGGCGGCTTTAACTTTGATTAGTGATTGGCTCAACTTAAATAAAAATATTCTTTCTCTTGAGGGATGGGATTTATTATATGGATGGCACACTTATTTAATTTATGATAAAAAAGTTGATCAGGTTTTTAAAACCCATATTTTGAGAAGTGCCTTGTTGCGTATCTGGAAAAAATATTATAGGTTAAATTATAAAATTCCAATTTGGGGGATTCCTGGACACGTGATAGAGGGAGTATCTAGGGGAGTGAATTTGGATAAGATTTCTTATAAGGAATTACTTAGTTTGGTTGGGCAAGATTGGCAATTAAAGTCATTGAGTGAGTTGAAGCAAGAAAATATTGTACACTCTTGGTTTCATTATAATCAATTGTTAGTGAGGTGGAGTTTAGATCAAAAGGTTGGTATTACTCTAGAGGATGTTAATTTGGTAAAACATTAAAGATCAAAGTCGAATTCATAAAAAGAATTTATAATGTTTTAATAGAATTGAATTCTGAAACAATTAAAGATTGTATGATTAAATGGGCGCAAAATATTCAAGAACCGATTTTATTGGATACATGGGAGATAATTTGGGTTAGAAATGCAAAATTGACTCAGGCGCAAAATTTAAGAGAAAATTTTTATAAAATGTTTTATGGATGGCATTTGGATCCCCAAAAGTTGTCCCGCATATATCCGAATTTACAGCCCAAATGTTGGAGATGTGGAAATTTAGATGCAACTTATTTTCATATTTGGTGGACTTGTAGAGATATTAAAGCTTTTTGGATTAAGATTTGGTGGAATATTCAAAAGATTTTTAAGAAAAAGATAAAGTTTACTCCGCAATTATTTTTGTTGGGTATTATTGTAGATTTTGATGTTAAAGAAACTAATTTAATGTTGAACCTTATAACAGCTGCAAGACTATTGGGGCAATATTGGAAGAAAAATTTATTGCCTACTTTGGAAGAATGGATACTTAAAGTTTCTAATTTAGCAGAAATGGCGAAAATCTCCGCCTATTTGAAAGATCAATCACAAGAAAAATATATTATGGTTTGGAGAAGATGGATTGATTATATTCAGAAGAAATAGGAGATTGAAAAATATTATCTTGCTTTTGAGTAGATTTTAGATAATTATTAATAGTTATAATTATCTTATTATCTTTTATTTAATTTGT